TTTTTGATCCCATTCCCCACTCCACCCCCACAAAATGTCTCTGGTATATGGTTGTTCATTATTTTTGTTATTTTCTTGCCTGGTCGCATCCTCTTAGCTTTTAACAGACCTAGAGTTGCTTTGCCAGAAGCTCTCGATAACCAGACTTTAGATAGTCATGCCCTTCCTGAGAACCATCTCGAAGCGCTATTCACCCTTTGCGAAGGATACTTATTAGCAGCTGTGGACTGGCCAGTCTTCCACCAAGGGCCAGTGGAGGAACTGGGAGAAAGACCTGTCTGTGAAAATAGCACTGAAGTGAATCACTCAGATCTAGTCAAACTCCTGAGGTAAACTGGCTAAGGAAAGTCCAGTCTACTTAACATGGGCCTCTCACTGCCATCAAATTAAATATTTAACAAAAAAACCCTGAATCCTTTCATACCTTAAGATAGCACTTGTGGGTGTTGAGTTCAGAACAGGCTACAATGAATATGCTCGAAGCTCTGCAATTTGCTTTTAAATTTAGTTTTTTCAAAGTAAGCTTTGATGAGTCTTAGTATCTATAATAACTATTTGTTTTAAAAAATTAAAAAGTATGTGCATTTCCTCTTTCCTCCCTCCTGTCCCACTACCTCCTCCTCTGCTCCCCACCAAAACAGGTCGTTTCCTTATGAACATCGGCATGTGGGTGTCAGCAACAAGTATGCTCGATTGCCAGCCAGGGAAGTGGACTCGTGTGCGGACGCTGAGTGCTGGATTCCTACAGGCTTTGCCTCAAGGGGGCAGTGGGGCACGACTCTGTCCTGCCCAGTCCAGCCCGCATAATGTAGCCAGGGAGACAGAGAAGGTACAGGAAAGAGTGCCCGCCCAGCACAGGAGAAGAGCAGCAGCTGATCTGTGATGCCATCCCCAGGGATACAAGGACACGGGACACACAGGGGACTGAGCAGAAAGTGCTAGAAGAAGAGGGTATGTGCACACTTTGGGTGGACCACTGATACCATTCTGCATGAAAAGAAAACAAGCTGCATAGTTTAGAAGTTTACGACTTTTGCTCCCTTAAGTCCCTTTGGATATGTTGGGAGAAGTACAATAAAAGGAGAAACGGGAAGACTCAAAAAGCAGTGATATCGCATCAAGATTATATAAATGGAACCATTTATACAATTTATATAATAGGATCTTATCAATCATCTAGTTCTATGTCAACTACTGCAAAATTTGGTGTCCACAGACAAGTCTGAGTCAGTGACAAAGTGTGGATGAATTTAAATCTTCACAGACTAATGAAATAGACAGCAAGGTTCTAGAATGATGTTTGCATTGGGCCACTTTTTGAACTTTTCTCCAATTAAAAATAACAATTAAGGATGGCTGAAATTCATGCCTCACCTGCAGATTTTCCACTTGAACTTGCACAGCTTCTAAAGAGCCGGTCAGCAGACGATATCGGGAGAGAGAATATCTGGCTTCCATGAGGTAGCTGTTTATCTCATCAGAGGCCACTTTGTGAGTGTTCCACTGCTCAAGCACCGACTTCAGCAGGGTCTTTAATTGCCCAGCCTTTTGAAAGACACAGACACGTCTTATTGGAAATATTTAAAATGATGGCATGTTCCACTTACTTGTATAATATTTAAAATTATGGTAGAGGCCACCATTGGAAAGAAATCAACAATTAGGAACTTTATTAGGGCTGTGTGTATTATGAGTAAACTGAAAGAAAAGATCTGAAAAGTAAAATGCAGCAATTTTGAAGTTTCTACCATTCATACTGAGCATGGTTTAAGTCAAAATGCTCAGAGAGGCGACATATAGTATGCAAATCGATAAAATGTCAATATATTTACTACTATGGCTAAGAAATGTGTAAAGTGAGTGTCTCATATGCCTTAACTCATTTAATCCTCGTAAGGACTTTATAGGGTAGGGATAATCATTTATCCCCATCTTATGATGAAGAAGCTGAGGTTCAACGAGGTTTTAAAAGTTACTTAAGAGCATGTTAATAACATGTGAGACTAGATATGAATTCAAGCTATTTGGTCCCAGGAAATTAGATCTATCTACCACTGAGCTATTCGCCCATCTGTCCATCCATCCACCCCTCTGTGATCTGTCCATCAGAAATCTAACATATAACATATATGCATGCATATAAATGCACACATACTCTAGTGAGTATCTTAAGACATAATAGCAAAGAACAGTCTTTCCCTGTACTTACCTGCAGCAGAAAAGCATTTATTTTGCTCTGAATCACTCTTCAAGATATGTGCTTTGGCCTGCATGGATGTCTTCTCTAAGCTGCTGAAGGCAGCATTTTGAATATGCAGGAACTATGACCATAATTAAGAGAAGGGGTTCTATACATGAACTTTCATTTGCACTCTGTGTTTTCATGTTAGCACAAATAAAAATACCAACGCCAATCAAGACACTATGAAATGGGTCAAACTGGAAAGAAAAAGGAGCCTCAAACAAGGCGACACCCAGCACCTGGAGAACAGGACACAGCAGAATGTAAGAGTCATTGGTCCCCGTCACGGAAGCTGGTGTCAGCTCCATCTCTGCAAAGTGGGGTAATAACTACCTGCACAGGTGTGGGCTCAAGGTCAACCGCGATCTCTCACTAGAGTGTCTGTTGTTACACATATTCTTATAACCAGGACATTCAACACTTCACTCGGAGCATTTCTAGTAAATGTTTTCATAGCGTTTCTGTCTTGATTGGTGTTGGTATTTTTATTTGTGCTAACATGAAAACACAGAATGCAAATGAAAATTCATGTATAGAACCCCTTCTCTTAATTATGGTCGTAGTTTCTCCATATTCAAAATGCTGCCCTCGACAGCTTAGAGACGACACCCATGCAGTCCAAAGCACATAGCGTTTAGTGGAAAATGTAAACAAATAAGCAGGCACCGTGTATGTTATGAGCTAAGAGAAAACAGACCAAAGTGGAACGGGAATTCTGGGAGAGCAAAGTGGCCAGGGTGGGCTGCCCTCCATAAGAGTGGGTGGGGAGGTCAGGAAAGCCCTCACTGAGATGGTGAATTTGAACAAGGGCTTTTCAGAGAATGACGTCACCACGCGGTTATTTGGGAGAGGGTGAGCCAGGGTTGGGGGGGAGAGGGGTGTTTCAGAAACAAAATGAACCTAAAAGGCAGCTGCAGGAGACAAGGCCAGGGACCCAGGGGACATGGACCTTCAGGATCCTGCCAGGCGTGGGCCCTATTCCGAATGAGACTGGAAGCTACTGGTGGGTTCTAAACAGAGGACTGGGTGATCTGATTTCCATTCTAACGGACTCCCCAGCAGGCAGACAAGCTAGGTGGCATCAGTGCTCGAAATAATCAAGGCAAACCCTGGCAGTGTTGTAGTCCTAGGGGATAGCCACAGAGATGGGGTGAAGGCGTGGGTTCTAGACTGTTCTGAAAATAGAGTTGACAAGATTGCTGAAAGATGTGGGTTACAAGAGCACAAGAGGAATGAGGAATGACTCCCTGGTCTCCTGCCCAGCAAGTGGAAGGACACTGTTGTCACTAACCAAGATGGCAGGATGTGCAGATGGGGGGGGGGGGGGAGAAGGGCGTGGGGTGAGCATGGGGGTTGGAGAGGTCTACTGGTCATGCAAGAGGAGATGTCTACACTGTAGCTTTCTCTCAGTGTTCTCTCCCTCTAAACTATCTAGAGTTTAGGGGCGAAATCCTGGCATGGGTGTCAGGGGGAACACATTGGAAATTGCCTGTGCCTAGATGGTATCTATACATGTGGGAAGGAATGGATTATCATGTTACTATTTATATAACTTATAAATCTATGTGTTAATATGCATCATGCATACAATACCAACACTGGATTATCATATTAATATTTAGCTACAGGAATTATCCAAAGCTAGAGTTTTTCAAAAAGTGGTTAATGAAGTGGACTTCATACAAACAGATGATACACAGAGCACATCGTTATTTACTCAGTTACTTTAGGGAAACCCAAACCCAAACCCACATCATGAGGAGCAAGCATGACCCTGGTGCCAGTTTTCCACTAGCGATCTTACCATCTGGTCTAAATTCGCCCAGGTCTGTCTGAGCTCCTGTAGCGTTCTCCTCACAATGCCAGAGACTTCTGCTTTCTTGTCCTGAATCAAAGCAAGTCCATGCTGCTCAACTTTCTCTACTTCTTTTTCTTTTGCTTTAATCAAATCTTCCAGATCCTGAAAGATTAAAAACAAAAATACTCATTTTAAATTGTTTACTATGGAACTCTAGTGTGCAATGAAAATCGAACCATGGCAGTCTTGAGCCGAATATTCCTTTATAAGTCCAAAGGGCCCATAAATCTCAGTAGTTTTTTACAATAATCCTTTTTCCATTTAAATTTTAAAATCTTCTTCCATGAGAAATTAACATGATTCTTAAAAAATAGAATTTCATTACCCATTGAACAAGGAATTGGCATCATGTAATTTTTTTCAGAAAGTGACACAGAAGAAACAGTAACGTAGTTTATATTCTTTACTTCATATGTGCTGGTATCGCAATCCCAGCCCATGGGGTGAAGTGTGTTTCTCCTGTCCCTACAATTAATCACATTTCTGCTGCTATCGAGCTGTGTTCACTTTGGGCAACTTAGAAGCTTCCACTGGGTCTGGTTGCTTCAGATGGAAAATCAGATGACTGGAATTGATTATCTCTATTATCCTTTCTTTCTCCCTAAAATATTCTGACTCTATGCAATTCTGAAAGGCTGTGGGCTTTTTTCATGAATCAAATCCTCATTTTCTTTGAAATGTGCATTTGTAACTGTCAGTCTAAAAGGTTCACGGAGGAATGAAAGGAGGAAAGAATCTAAAGATGAAACTTAACTACACATGACAACCCTAACATATCTTAATTCATGTGGAAATATAAAAAGCTCATCCATTCAGGCTGCAGCTACTCTCAGTGTTTACAGGTGGAACAAATGGAAGATGAAGTTACAGGGGTTGCCTGGGCCATGGGCATGGTGAGGCCAGAGGCGGGAGTGGGTCCATGTCTCAGGAGCCCACTGGCTTCAGCCCAGATCTGGCGGCAGTAGATTGCGAATGGAAGCAAATCCTGAATTGAAGTGAGGTGAAATAAGATACACTTACATTCCTATATTCGGAAACACACTCCAGAACCAGAAGTGTAGATGGACAGACGCTGGAGGGTAGAGTGAGGAAAATTCCAAAATCTTAAGTTTGGACAATGTTTAAATTCTATCCACAAAAAATGTCTACTTCCTATCATGAGCCACAGATGGATGGCAGAACTGGGGGCAGCCGTCACCGGCACCAGGACATGCTATGTAGGAATCTAGCCTACGATGTACTTATGACAAATTTTGTGCTCCTTATATTTCTATTTCTGTGCAATCCATGTGCTTAATCACCCTCTACCTCATTTATAAAATACGAATAATCGTTCATTTTCTGCTTACCTCACATTAAATAAATATATGAGCTGTCTTCTAAGTGAACAAAAAATGAGTCTAATGATGTAAGATAATATTATTTTATTCAGCCACCTGGTAATTGCTGTGCTTTAATAAAAATTTATTTATTGTTATCTTCTTAATTACCATGAAGCTATTTTTTGTCTTGCTGTATTAATCAGAAATTCATGCACCCAGTAAACTAAAGAGATTGTTTTTGTGGTTAATATTGTACTCTCATTTTCACTTGACAATCTTACCAATATTTTGACAGTTTTGATAATTTCCAGAGAATGAATAGTGATTACTAGGGTTATGGGTGCACTATGTAGTATAAGAAACAAAATTAACTTTACTACTTAAGGATTTTTTTTTCTATTTCTTAGTAGATTAAATAACCATAAACAATTTTTCCAACATAGCCTTAATATGATTCTAATATTCAGCTACTGGAGTTAAACTGATCCTCATTTATCCATATAAATAACCTTTTTAACAAGCAATCCACTGCCTAGAAACACATCTCCAGAATGCCTGGCATATTTATGTATTTATGTTGGCATAAGAGCAAAACCTAGAAGAGAAACAGAATTGAAACATGCATTTTTTTGGGCAAAATGAAGATGTACTTTCCTCCTCTTTCAATAGTAAAGTGATTCTGTTTCTGATCAATGAAGACAAAAGCCAAATTAAACATTTTTTGTTATAACAAATCATCCTTAACTTGAGTTAACTCATAAATATCAGTTTTTATGTTGGTTTGAATGAATAAATCATCGCTGAAAGAGTGAAAAAGTAGTCAGGATTTTTCAAACAAAATAAAGTTTGAATCCAGGCACTGACTTAAATAGGCTGGCTTGAATTTCACACTTGGATCACTAAGAACAATTTCTGAAAATGACAATAAATTTTACCAGCCTGCGGGACAGCCTGGTGGTCCCTGAAATGTGCTGCCTCTGAAACAGCAGAGGGGCTACCTCATTCTGGGCTCTGTCAAAAAAAAGTGGGGCGCTCCCTGGTGGTGCAGCAGGTTGGAGCACACATCTGCCAGAGCTGGCCATGGCCACTTCAGTGTAAGCTGGATCCCTGGCCGGAAGGTGACCCACATGGTCACTGCGCTTGACCCGTCCACTGCTCCCTTCAGCAGTGTACTTTGACAATCTGCCTGGCCTGCTCCCCACTGTCTCTGGTTAATTCTCTCATGGCCCCTGCACCTCTGGCCTATACCCTAGTTGTGTATGCATAAATAAATAAATCTTTAAAAAAGACTTTTTAAAGATTTATTTATTCATTTGAAGTCACAAATTGATATTCGTGTACGTTCTTTAAACCACACTTCAAGTCTTCCCTCCACCACTGCCTGGTAGGACCCTCTAGGAGACTAAAATTTGGTCTGAAAAGGAGTAAACTTTGATCAAAACTGGTGCTATATTTTCTAGGAGCAATGTCTGTTAAACAGAAGACAAGGGCATGAATAGAAACACACTGGAAAATGACAGAATCAAAGTTCATTAAAGAGAAGAATAATAGAAAGACAATAAAGGGAAAGATATATGAAGACATTATTTCAGTCTTTGAATAGTAAAGTTTATCATAGTGTAACCAGGAAGCACTAACCTTGTTTATGTCAATTATCTTTCCATTTTAACAGAAACATTTTAAAATAGAAGATTAGGGGCATGTCGGACTTGTCATCCTTCAAAGAAAAAGTCTAAAATTCGGACTTATTTGTAGATATTAGATTGATAACTAGAAAATTACTGGACCTGGGAAATTAGCAATGCAATGAGACCATTGATGCATGTTTCTGGTCTTTGATATTTTACACACATTTGTAAAAAAAAAAAAGTGTAAAACATTTTAAAATATCAAGGTTTTTTTTGAGATTGGTTTTGTCATTTTCATGCACACCAGGAGTATCGGTTGAATCTTTAGCAAACCAAACACCTTCATTGAAGCTTGACTGTCTTAACACAGAAAAAGAAAAAGATATTTGTTGGAAGGAAGACCATTGCCAAAAGTCTTTTTAACTTGTAGGTGATAAAAATGAGATTTGGGGAGAAGAGCTATATTTGGAGAGTCACTTCACAGTTGAGCCTTCAGTCATTCCTAGGAAACACCGCAAGAGAACAGTCCCAGCTAATCTGGAACATGCCAAATTACTGAATAACTGGAAAAAAAAATGCATGACAGCCCTAACTGGTAGCTCAATCTCATCTGAATAAACAAGAGCACTGAGGAAACACTGTACCCCGGGCAGTAGGGAGAATACCCCGTCACTGACTGGGGAGTCTGGCTGGCAGTAGGGAGAATACCCCGTCACTGACTGGGGAGTCTGGCTGCTTCTTGAAAACACTCAGCAAGAAGGAACATCGTCCCTCTGATTCTGGCTCACCACACTTGAACCAGAATTCAATCCACTAGCTTTCACAGGGGAGAGAACTAGTTTGATGGTGAGAATTGAGGGAGTCCCAGCATTCTTTATTTATGAGTCTAATAGAAATTTCTCAAATTTTTTAATTTACAAAAGTAAAAAAATCCTAACAGTTAAAATTATCTCAGATAATCAGAGCAGAGCGTTGCCAAATGCAAGCGGTGATGATATTCCGTTCTCGGATCTCAGGGCTGCTGGTTCCTTTGGTGTCTGCCTGGTCACCAGGACTGGGGGAACTGGGACCTTACCTGACAGTCCTTGATGGCGTTCTGAACAGATGCCTGGTCTCCAATACGGTGTTGTTGCTTCAGGCTCTTTTCCTGGGTTTCAAACCATGTTTTCAGACCTTGTACACTATTTTCATATTCTGACCAAGATTTTAATAATCCTTCCAACTGCTGGATCTGAGCAAACATAATAAAATTTGTGATTTTATTTAAAAATCAAATCACTGGCAGGCTAATTATCCAAGCCACCATGTTCTCCAAATTAGGAAAGCCTCAGACACAGTCCACAATATGGATAATTAGAGCATAAATCTTATAAATTGTGACAGTGACGATTCATGGTAAGCAAGACAAGAATTTAAGTCAAGGTGAAACCAAAGCAAAGAAAATTAAGTTTAAAGAACTAAAAACAACATGAACTATGCAGAGAGTAGAGAACATAAAGGGAAAATAATTATCAGGAGTAAAGTACATTTAGGCTGATGTGGGTTTTTCTTACTTTTTTCCAAACATATTGTATGCTCAGAGTAGTCACACGTGGGAATGAGCTTTCTTTACAGAAATTCTGTTAGTGAGGTTTCCATGCCAATATCAGCAGAGGCCCAAAACTTACCTTCTCAGATACTAAACCCTGCAGAATTTGCCAACTTTTATTCATAGCTCCAAGTTGCTCAGCAAAATCAGTCTTATCACTGCGTTTGCTTTCCACATCCTGACTGCTGATTTGTAGCACAGACTGGTTCACAAAATCGACTGTTAACTGTTTACAGTTAATATCTATCTTAAACCCCTAAAAAGAAAAAAAAGAGTAGAAAAAAAAAGGTTATTCATATATAAATGTCTTATCTCTTATCAGGAGTTGGAAAGCCCTAAAATCAAGATTGATATGATCTCTTCCTTGGTTTGACGCAAATGGTACAATGCCATATTCATAGAAATCATTATTTCCAGAATGGAATGTACATACATATAAACGCACATATATAAAATCTTACTGAAAAATATTTATAAATTAAAGTCTTTTTTATGATCTTTTTTTTAAAGATTTACCTATTTGTGGACATTAGAACTGGGTGGGGCAGGCCAGAGGTGCAGGGGCAGTGAAAGGATTCACCAGTGACAGAGTGGGGAGCAGAACAGGCAGATCAACTGAAATACACTGCTGAGAGAAGCAGCAGGGAGACAGGAGAGGTCTGCTGTGCCCTGTGGGTCACGCCCTGGCTGGGGATCGAACTCATGCTGCAGTGGCTGTGGTATAGTGCTGCACTATAACTCCGGGAGCCACCCATTTTTTATGATTTCTTAAAATGATGCAAGCTTAATCAAAATCATTCCTCACACTCTGCAACTCCCCCATGCCTGTAACCAGAGAGGCGGATTCCTTACCCTTGGACACCTATCGGGTCATCACTACGAAATCAAAAACATTTACTTCAAGGGCTTCTTTCCATCATTTGAGTTTTTGATTTTCTTAAAATAATTCTAAAATAGGAAATATTTAAAGAAATACTCAATTACCTTATATTTCTGAAGGTACTCGTGAATTGCCTTGTGACCTATGGAATTTTTTATATTGTCTTCATCCTTTTGAATAACACTTTCCATAAGAGAAATCCAAGTCAGAACTTCAGAAATGGCATGGCGGGAAGGCAGCTTATCCATCTGCAGCTGCCCCAGTGAGAGAGAGCAAATCACAGTGTTAAAGTCTAACCCAATTCCTGCTAACTTAGCCAAACATTCTCCGCGAGTTCTTATTAAACTTCTTAGTGGCATTTTTGAGTCTTTACCTCTTTAGAAGCTTAAAATGAAACACCAGCCAAACACTGACTAGTAATAGTCATATTATGTTCCCTTGACATTCAATACAGTAAACACTGTCTAAATACTAACTAATTGATCAAAACACCAGCAAGAAGAAAATAATACTCTTGTTTTATAGTTAGTTTTATAAGTTAAAAAATTTAACTACAAAACATTCAGCAGATGTATTTTATTAATTACCTTGTAAAAATCTCTGTGTATTATGACTCAGAAATGTTGAAAGAAAGAAGAAAAACATCTCACTATAATCCTTTTCTAGATTTTTGGCATTCTAGTACTTACTCTTAAGAGCAAAGTCAACTTCTTCAGACTTCCTATAAATACACTCAGAATTTTGAGTGTTACTTAACACAGTATACATTTATGCAGGTACTTATAATGACTTAGAGGAACATAAACAATCGTTAAAATATTTATGGATTTCTACGCAGCACAGAAAGATACAGAGGGAAAAGTGATAAGTTTCTCACACTCTTGAGGTGGACAACTATTCATTAGGAGGGAGCAAACATACATCAAATGCATCTATCAGAACTGGGACATGGTGATGAATTTCATGGGAAGGAGAGATGTCATGTTTGGGGATGCAGATAAGAAAAGCCTAACTCCAGATAAGAGAAACACTTCCCTAATTTCTCTTTATTTTTTGAATGCCAAATTGCTCTGTTTTGGGTAAGATTATAGGTCTTTTACATGCATTGTTATTAGGTCTTCATAAATGCTCATTTTATGTGTGATCTGTCCACATTTCATGCATGTAAAAGCAGAGTTACAGCAACATCCGCCAAGGGTTCTCACACACTCACACACACACACACACACACACACACACACATGAAGGCCCGGAAGTTGTGGCATTTGCAAGCCTGACTTTACAAAGTCCATTTCTGCAAAGCAATATGATGGCAAATTGAAAAGGCCAGGTGTCCTAGACAAATCTGATTTATATTTTAGAACCAAAACACATTAACATACATCTCTACTTCCTACTGCTAAAATCAGTTATTGCCAGTGAAAGCCACAATTATTTCTCTACCTGGTGGAGCTTCTCTTGCACAGCTGGAATACTGGTCAACAGGTCAGTCCACTGGCCATCGATGTGTGACAGCTCGGAACGGAGGGTGGCCGTGTCTACTTTCTTTAATCGAAGAAGCTGGTTTCCGGTGCTCAGAACAGAAGATTTCAGGGAAGATTTGGCATCCACTTCTTTGGTAAACTCCTAAAAGACGTAGCAATGCTCGAATCAGGAGTAAATAACCAGATTTCCATTTAAGGAATAAACCAGTTTAGCGTGTACAATTTTTTTTTCCTTTACATTTCAGAGGAGATATGTTAAGCACAATCTAAACTGAAGTAGACCTCACCCCCTGCACGAAAATAAACAAGAAAGTCGTTACTAGAAAATGGCCGAATCAAGCCTTGCCATCTTGCATAATTATGGGACACACATATTGACACAGGTAGTCAACACTGCTGATTAATTAAGCATATCCATTGGCCAGTCATTTCCCTTCCACTGGCGTATGGATGAGGCCTTTACCTGAAGGTCTGAAAACAATTCCCTCAAAGCAACTGCTGTATACGTCTGGGCTTACCAAGAACGCGTTCAGGTGGTCCCGGACCATTTCCAGTTCCTGCGGTACTGTCACAGACTGCTGAGTCCAGAACTCTAGCCTGTCTTTTGCGGACTGTAACCAGTGAATTAGCTCAGCAGATTCACTTTGATACCTGTAAGTATGTTAATGAGTCCATTCAATAAATAGCCAGAATCCACTTTCTGCCATGCTGTTCAGCAATGCCATTTTTAAAACCAGAGACATGAAAGATTTGGTGACTAATACCTTGAGATGACTCAATTCTCTGACCATTTATACCTTAAGCAAATCTCTGAGCAAGTTTTTCTGAGTTTCAGCTTTCTTAACTGAACAACAATTTAAAATCTGCGGAGTTGGAATGCAGCACTTTGAAGCTCAGCCAAGCCATGGTCACTTCAGTGTGAGTTCTTTCCCCACCCCAGAGGTGACCCACATGGTGATCCGCCCGCTGCTCCCCCGATCTGTGTGTTCTGCTCCCCACGCTGTCTCTGGTTAATTCTCTCATGGCCCCTGCACCTCTGGCCTGTACTCCAGTTCTGTGTGCATAAATAAATACAATATATATGTGTGTGTGTGTGTGTGTGTGTGTGTGTGTATAGATATATACACACACACACACATATATATTTTTTTCTCCCACTACATCTCATTCAGATTATTTAGAAAATATTAGATGTTATTGAAAGTTCTTAGAAATAAAGTTGGCATCAAAATAGAATATTTCCTTGTGTATAAATCAATTCCCCATCTCTCTTGAATACTTCCTCTTGCTTTTGAGGAACCTGACCTTCTCCAAAGGGATTCTCTCTCTTTAAGGTTATACCACACCCCCAAGTGCAGGCAGCAGGCAGGGGAGAAGTCAGCAAATAGGTAAGCACCCATGGACGGGCCCCTTTAGGTACCTGGCATGTCTGTCCACTTACACAAGGATCCCTGTGGAGGGCTTCGCATTTGTCTTTGTTTTGACACTTTGAGATAAGTTCACAGAGAGGCACTGTCATGCCAGGTACCAGCTAGGGCTTCCCAAGACTCTGAACCACTAATCTGACAATTAAAATAGTCACTGTACCTGGTCCAATGTTTCAATATTGTTTCCAATCGGTGAAGTTCCTTAGCCACTTTGTTGGTGTTATTTAACCAATGTTCTCCAAGTTGACTCAGCTGATTTTCTAGGTCTGAACAGCTAATGGACATCAGAAGTCGCTTCCCATCTTCTAAGAGCTGATATAATTTGGGCTGGTGCTCATTCAGGCTGGATTTCAAATGCTAAAAGGATCAGAAACACCGGTCAACAGGTGAGGTAGCGCCATCTTTCACTTTAAGAAGAATGATTTCTCTGATGTCTATAATGTTCCTGTTACTCTGTCAGCCAGACTCAATGATTTGCACTCAAGTATCACTAGATATTCAGAGAGATTGCATCTCTTACTATAGATGATTCTGTTTCTTGGTATTAACTTTAGGTGCATTTAAAATCAAGGTACAATTATCTCAAGAATAATGAGATACAGACAATATTTGGTGGAGGCTGACTTTTCAAAAACAATTCTCACTTAAAAAATACAAAAGGTGGCCCTCCCTGGTGGCGCAGTGGGTTAAAGCACAGCACGAAGAAACTTAAGCCACTTCCACATGAGTTCGATCCCCGCCTGCCCCGGAGGTGACCCACATGGCACAGCAGACCTCTCCTGACCCGCCCGCTGCTCCCCTCAGCAGTGTACTTCATGGATCTGCCTGTTCTGCTCCCCACTCTGTCTCTGTTGAATCCCCTCACCCTCTGCATCTCTGGCCTGTACCCCAGTTCTGTACGAATAAATAAATAAATATTTTTTAAAAAAAATACAAAAGGTGGGGGCCTCCCTGGTGGCTCAAGGGATAAAGTGTCAGTACCATCAAGCTTTCATCAGCCTCTGCAGCACGAGTTTGACCCCTGGCCAGGGAGCTGACCCACATGGCACAGCAGACCTCTCCTGTCTTCCTACTGCTCCTCTCAGCAGTGTATTTCACTGCCTGTTCTTCTCCCCGCTCTGTCTCTGGTGAATCCTCTCACTACCCCTGCACCTCTGGCCTGTACACAGTTCTGTATGCATAAATAAATCAATCTTTAAAAAAAAAAAAAACTGTATAAAAGTTTTGAAGGGAAACATGGCCACTTTGATACGAACATGGCTTCAGGTGCTGACCTGGTAAAGGGCTATCCGGTCCACCAGTCTGTCTTCAGTCTCCTCCACCAAGCCCACACTCGGGATGCCACCTTCCACCACCTCCAGCTGCCGGCTGAGCTCCTGGTGGTCCTCGTCCAGGTGGGTCCATGTCTACAGATGCAACATCATCTGTGAGCTGCACAACCCTCAGGAAAGAACACCACCCCCCCACCCCCGCCTCTTTGCGCAACACCTGCATTACACTGACTCTGTAAAGTTATGCTGGAGATGACTGGGTTGCAAGTGTGGTTCGGGAAGCAAAGGCAGGCTTGGTGTAGGTGACCCCTTACACAGAGGGAAGCACTGTGGAGGGGTAGTGCTGCCTGACCACGGCACATTATTAAACTCTGAACCTCATTTTTCAACATGAAAGGGGGTAATAATAATTCTTGCCCGTGGTGAGGATTAAGGGAGGGGGGAATGCACGCAGCGTCCCTGGACGCCAGTAGGCATTGGGTCTGCACGTTTTCTTTCATTACCAGTAATGACATAGTTCACTAACAAATGAACTAAAAACATTACATTTGTGATTGTTCATGTAACAAATGAACTAAAAACATTACATTAGTGATTGAAAAAGACAGACACTGAACAAGCATGAGGCATGGGGCAGACAGACTACTGAGGAGCTATCCCAAGTCAAATTCAAATGTATGTTTTACTTAAAATTGGCAAATCTTCTTTGAATCACCTGCAGTGTTTTCCAATAATGAGTAGCAAATATCAGCTACTTTCCAATGTGTGTATATACTCACTTTAACGTGCATCTGGATGGCAACAGGTATAACACAGCAAACCACACACTTTTCCTCAAGATACTTACTACCTGTTGCCACACTATGCTAGATCTAGGGATATAATAGCAAACAAAATGGAAACACCTGCCTTAGCAGAGCTCACATTCTCCATAAAGAGGAGGAGGCGAGAGACAAGGAAGAGAGTCAACAGTAAGGATGAATCAAAGACAAAGAACAAGTTTTATGGTGCATTAGAAAGTGCTGACGCGATGATGAAAGGAAAAATAGAGCTGAGGAGGTGCAGGAGGGTGAGCCCAGGGGGGCAGGTGGAAGGGCTACGATTTTAGGGAGGTCGTTGGGCAGGTCTCCTAGAGAAACAGATGTCAGGTCATGAAGTCAGACAATTATGGGTTTAACCCTTGACCCCACGTCAGTGAATCACCTCCTGAGATAAGATGTTGCTGAGCCGAAAACAGCAACTCACTACACCATCCTAGAGACTCGCAAAGGTGCTGACCAACATTCATATCTATCTAAAAGGCCTAGCCAGGGCCTGATAGAACAGTAAATAGTGACTATAATTGCAAAGCGAGTTGAATTGCCCCTCAAATGTTGAAGATACATTTCTGTCCAAAATATAGTCCACTGGGGAATTCCATGACTGAAAATTTGGAGTTAGTGAGTACTGATAAAGCGGGTTCAGGGAAGAAGACAGAATTTAGAAAACAATCTAGTCAATCCAGGTGAACTCGGTAATGCTAGGAAGGAGGTGGAGAGACAGGGAGGAGGCGGTAATTTAATTCCCAAGTCTTTCATGAAAAATAGGGCAAATGCAAAGGCAGAAACAGTTCGGGGATCTGACCTGGTTGCTGAAAACAGAGTCTGCTACATTAACATCCTTACATCACATTGGGATTGATGGGCAGCTGATCAGTCAGCCTTCACTGAGCACCTGCGTGCTCAGGGTGATAAACTTGACTTTGAAGTGGATGTTCAAGGAGAGGCCAGCTAATGTTTTGTGTAAAGGAGCAAAGAGTAACTATTTTCACCCTTCAGTGTCACACTGTTCAAGTCTGCCCTCTAGTTAGAAAACAGCATAGATGGCGCATAAACTGATATAACTCTGTATGTTCTAATAAAATTTTATTTACAGAAACAGGCAGTGGCCCACATTTGGCCCATGGCCCAAGCCCACGTACAAGCCTTGACTACAGACAACATCCCTCTTCCTAGGCATCTCTAAGATCTCTTGTATAGAAGATTGTTTCCTTCCTCTAAAGACTCACTATGTTGTATCCTAAGCTCCAACAGCCAGGGCTGAGTCTTGGGCATTCTCACCTCTGGTTTCCCAGGGTCTGGCTAACTAGCTGCAGCTCAGTAAGTGCTGAGTGGATGTTTGCCACGATGAACAAGTGAATGAAAACTGACTAACTGGCAAACTGATGAGGAAATGTGTCTTCACAGTATCCTGGGGTGATAGGTAGGACAGAGAAGCCAGAGCTGTCACCAAGAAGAAAGGTGCATAAAGCTCCTGTGACCTAAACCCCAATGGCCAAGTTTCACTTCAGTGTCCTTGTCTTATACTAAAGGATTCACCACTTTCTATGTCTGGAGCTCAAAGGCTTAGACCCAGTGGGATCCCCCTGGCTTCTGGAACCTACTTACGCGTCTTATGCCTGAGGGCAACTATATTCTGGACAGACACATGGTCTTGTGCCTACATTTTTCACTCTCTTTAGGAAGCTATCACTGAATACCAACACCTCAAAACATGTCCAGTCTGGAATTTGTATTTATCTCGCCAATTCACGGTGTGGTATCATAATCATCTGTACAGAAATATAAATAGAAGCTAAAAGAAAAACAAGGCAGCATAGGGTGCTGAATCCAAGAGTTCCAAGGTCAGGTGAGGCAAATCACATGGATAAGTGCATGTTGGCTCAGTGGCCAGTCGGTCTGTTCAGTTGGGAATTTCCTATTGCAGAGAAGTGACATCAGAAGACTCACCTCTAGAATGTACTCCAACTCCACACCCCTCTTATGAGCCCGTTTAAGTACAGCTGAAGCCTGCACCATCAGTTCTGTGTGGAACTGAGTTTCCTCTGGGACAGCAAAGCTGATGATCTTCCTGAAGAGTGTTTCAGTCAAGATCATATGAGATTCCAGGCCTTGAAAGTATTCCTGCAATGTTTCAGGTGGGAGAAGGTCAGTGACCAGTCACGCATGACCTGACAGCAAGAACAGCTTCCAGTGGGAAATCTCATGAAACTCCTCAAACGCAGGAGCAACGTGGCTCCACCCCGGCCCCCGCCCTTGCTCAGCTTCTCAGGCCTCCTGCTCCAGTCTCCTAATTGCCTTTGTTGCAGTCCCACCTCCCCATCCCCAAACATATGCACTTGGGGAACACCTGCCCACATCTATACTGCACTCTGCACCCCAAATAAAGCACGTTCATGTGTGACCAACTGCAGTTGAATCCCATGCTCACACAACCTCACCTCTGCACAGTCAGGCTTCCTGACTCTCCTGACGTGGCTGCCCACTCTGGGAGCCATACAAGCCTCCCCCTTGTCCTTTGGGGACACCCCCCTCTGTGGCTTCTGCTCACAGCCTGTACCTCCCAGGACATCGCACTTGACATATTCCTGACCTATCTTCTTCTGTGGCTGGGCTTCAGCCTGCTTCTCGGGGTGCCTGCAGCATCTATAGTGCCTCTTCCCTGCTTTCGAGTACAGCTTGCCATATACTGATCAGTATTTGCTACTTTAAATGTTCCTTCATATGAAACTCGCAGACAACAGAGTATAGACCTTGCATAATCTGACAAATGTGTTTTGATGTGCTACTGTTTATGTCTAACAGGCACCAGAAAATAGAGAAGGGGCCTATCCCATTTCTCGTTTCTAGAACGTGGATAGACTTGACACAGGGGGATGGGATCACAACAGTTAACACTGTGCCTAACAGGGCCAGGGAACCTTAGACACACTTGATCTAACTCACTTAATCCCAGTCATAGCTCTATGAGGGAGGTAGTTATATAGAAGAAGACTTGAACTTGGACATGAGCACATGTCTAAGGTCATTGCAGAGTTATCCCTTGGAGAATGGTCTGGTGACTAGGGACAGGGACTGGAGTCATTATTTTTAACTAACAGTTATTCTATCAGGGAACCTTAAATTTGAAGAGAACTTGAAGGTCATTCAGCCCACTATTCACCAAAAGCTCGTATACCATTATCAACCCCCTTACCCTCTTGGCATGGATGGAATTCTTGTGGCCAAGACAGCTATCTGTAGCCTGACAACCTACTCTTGCTACTCATCTACTGAGTTTTATTTCTCAGTTATTTATACTCATTGATCCTCATTTCCCCTCTGGAACAACTCAGGATGATACTTTATTGCTATGGTCAAAGATTTGAGAAAAACCAGCTGTGAACTTGAAAGCAATGTTTTCAAAGCCAAATGATAAGGCTTTCATAAATCACAACATTTTGGACAAAAATCTTTGGGAAAAATAGAGAGAAGTCCAATTCCAAAAAAAAAAAACCTAAAAAAATACCTTTTTAAGCCATCCGAGAATCACTTAAAGTACACAGTTAACCCTGTCTAACCCAATGGGATTTTTAAAGTTTCCCTAAGGAAATTCCCACAGTCTGAGAGGCTGGTTTTCTGGTCTGACAACCGCTCTTTCCATCACCACTGCTAACAACACAAGTTATTTGTGCGTGCACATTGCACAGCTGTTTCTTCACTAGGTAGTGATGTCTCTGCTGCACTTGGTTGTGGCAGGCACGTTCGAGCTGTTACAGGCCTCCCGAGTGTGATGATGCTAAGAAAAGGTTCATGGCTCCAGGTAGATGCTCTTGCATGAGGGACAGAAGAGCTAAGTAAGTAACGAATAGGCAGCACTCGCCTCAGCTGAGAGAGCAGCTCTGACTTCCAGGGCAGAGCCGGGCAAACACGAGAGGGCAAAATGGCCACAGAGGCAGCAAAGAGTTAAGAAAGAAGCTGGCTCCTTCGATGAGACAGAGCTTCTGTGTTTGCCACTGGCTGCCCGTTACAAGGGGCGAACCCTTGGTTGGCCCTACTGAGGCGCTGACCATCGACCTCTGCGAAGGCTAATTTTAACTTTGACCACAGCGGAAACACATTGGCTCTCATTTTTCTATGCTATTGTCTACCAGTGGGAAGGAAGCCACCATTGTGGACCATTTTTGAGAGTTACTTAGGCAAGCAGGATCTTATAAAAGATTGATATGAGATTTTACGAAAAATGGTCTTATAAGTCCAATTTCTTCTTCTCTCTTTATCTCTCTATCTCTCTTTACCTTGTGTTTGTCAAGTAGCTGTTGGATTTCCTCTCTGGAAGAGACAATGATTTTCTGGTCTCCTGCCATCTTTTCCCTTCCGGTTTCCAACAGGTCAGTGAGATCCTCAAGGGCCCTTTCATACTGACTCTTTAGAGCAAGGTTCTGGTTCAGTCCACTGTGCCGGGAGCCGATTGTCACCATCAGCTCATCGTACATGTCCTACAAGAGATACGGAGACTGTCAACTCCGCTCATATCTACTGCCCCAGCTGTGTTCTATGAGGTATCTGTAGCTTATGACACAATATGGGGTAACAATGTTGAAAACGGTTCATGCAGCTGTCACAGAAAAGGTCACAGAAAATGTAATTCTCATTTTCCAAAGAGCTTTTAAAAATAATATTCTCAATGATTTTATCATTCCAGAGAATTCAACAGTGTTTCCTTCCACATTTTGTCTGCTAAATAATTATCAGATTTGGGACTATTCCTCAAATAAAAAAGCTAGAAAAACAGAGCATAGAGACATTAGGGCTTAATAGGCAATATTTTTTTGCCAAATGTGGTGTAGTAAATAAATAACTATTTAAACTGGAAAGATATTTCAAGACATGATGACACACTGGTGCAAAATTTATTTGAGCCACATGGACCTGATTACTGTATCATATTATGGGCGAGGGGTCCAAAATGGCTCAATGTGGAAAAGTTCAACTTTAATGCCTATTTACAGCTGTGACGTTGGACTCTTACACCTGGTATTAAGCACATTTAAACTCCAGATAGGACAACGTGGGGGCTGTGGTCTCATGACGTTGTGAAAAGTTAGGTAATGGAATGGGACAGTTAAAATAAAAATGTTCATTTAAAAATAAGAGTGGGCCTCCCTGATGGCACAACGGGTTAAAGTGCAGCTGCAAGTGAACTGCAACACTTCAGTGCCCAGTTTCATATTTGGCCTCAGAGGTGACCCACAGGGCACAGCAGACCTCTCCTGACCCGCCCGCTGCTCCCCTCAGCAGTGTGCTTCATCAGTCTGCCTGTTCTGCTCCCCACTCTGTCTCTGGTGAATCCTCTCACCATCCCTGCACCTCTGGCCTGTACCCCAGCTCTACATGCATAAATAAATAAGTAAATCTTTTTTTTTTTTTTTTTAAGAGGATTCACCAGAGACAGAATGAGATGCAGAACAGGCAGACTGATGTACACTGCTGAGGGGAGCAGTGGGAGGGCCAGGAGAGGTCTGCCGCACCATGTGGGTCACCTCCAGGGCCAGGATCGAACTCACACTGAAGAGGCTGTGGCTAGCTGGCAATGCTTCGTTCTAACCCGCTGCACCACCAGTGATGGCCTATTTTACTTTTCTAGAGAAAGGACTTGTGACCCTGTACAGGAATCATACTATTATACCTCCAGTTGTTCTGTAGTAAAGAATTCAGGGGAAATTGAATATATGGATGTCACCAAATAATTTTCTTCTTAACATAACTGTTGTCTATCAGATGCTAGATTTTTGTTGGTCTCATATCCCAGTATGTTCCTAACACCCCGATATATCAGATTGTTCTCTAGATGTTCAGTATCTAAGAAAACAAATGGACTTAAAGTGTTATTTTGTATTCCTGAAGGATTCCAGGGAGGTTGTTTAGATGTCATTATCTTCTAGTTTATTTTTTTATTCCAAAATTGAAATCATGCCTATCTTCTATTTAAACACAAATGAAAAATAAATAAATAAATATACATATATATAGTTATTGTCATTTAAGAAAAAACACTTTTTAGAAAGTATTAGCTTGAGTATTTTTTCTTTAAAAGATACTGTAATATATAAAAAAAAGATACTGGGATATGATACTTTACACAATAGATATTTCTATATGAACTTTTCTAGATAAGATTGATACCATGTTTTCAAGAGCAGAAAACGACATGCCATATCTAAACTATGCCACAATGCTTAACCACTGGAATAATAATGAAATAATGTCAGGGGAAAATGAAGTAACTAGATCTTGGAAACATGAGAAAATAATTTAATAGTCCATTAAATTTGGCAAAGATTTTAGAAATTTTCTACATGTTTCTTGAACGACGGGAATCTACATGGCATGAATTTTAAGCCTTTGCAAAAGGAGCTATTTTCTTCTCATTCATTGTTTACATATAAAAAAGCTACAGATTTATGTATGGTGATTTTTATACCTTCTACTTTACTGTATACATTTATTCTCATAATTTTTGGAAGATTTTTTGGTTTTCTGTATATAATAGCATATTGTCTGCAAACAATGATCATTTTACTTCTTTTCCAACTTGGATTCCCCTTTTCTTCTGTTATTGTCTGATAATTGCTCAAAATCTCTAAGTTAAACAGAGCTGGTATTAGGGGTATCAGTATCTTAATCCTAAACTTATGGGGATAGTTTTTCTTTTCTTACCAGTAAGGGCTATACTGGCTGTTGGTTTGGGGTATATGGCTTTTATGAAATAGAATCCTCCTATTCCCAACTTGTTTAGATCTTTTCACATAAATGAGGAGTAAATTTTAGCCCAGGGTTTCTTTGTGGTGACATGAATTTTATAGAGAAAACTCAAGGCCATAGAGAAAATATTTTTTTTTCTTGACTTCTAGTTAGAATATACTAGTACATCTTGAAAGCTATCAGTAGAAAATTGTACCTGCACTTTGGAGAGTTCCTGCAGGGAAGGCTGCTCAATCTGCAGCTTGTCAGCACGTCTCTTTAGGTCAATGATCCCTGCATCCAACTCCTTTAGACCTTCTTCAGCCTCTTGTATCACCTATGTAAGATTGATGACATTTCCTTAAAACTGCTAATTTCCCCCACCAACTATGATTGATTATCTAGTCTCTTTTCTTTTCCTGCCTTCACATAAAACATGAAAAGTCATATAAATATAACATAAAAACTGTACCCATCTATTGTATAGAAAAGAGAAGCCTTTTATTAAACTACAGATCAGCTATTTTAAAAGGAAGGGTAGGGGTGGGGGGAAGGCATGGAGTCAACCAGGGTTTCCTTAAACAAATAAGGGAATTTATGAATAGCTAACACCCAAAAAAGAAGCCTGATTGAGGATATAGAAAAAACACTTGCCAGATACAGTGTGGAGATTTCTTAAATTATTAAAACAAGATCTACCATGTGACCTAGCAAATCCATTCTACCTGCAGAATGCAAAAACAGAATTCAAAGGGCTATATGCACTCATATTCATTGCAGTCCTGTTTATAATAGTTAAGTTATGGAAACAAACTAAGTGCACAAGTAAAGAGAAGTGAATTAGAAAATACTATATATATATATATATATATATATATATATATATATATATATATACACAATGGGAGATAGCTCAGCTATAAAAAAAATATGGTCTTTTGCCATTTAAGACAACCTGGATGGAACTGGAGAGGATAATGTTAAGTGAGGTAAGTCAGAAGAAAGGCAAATACCAGATGGTATTGCTTATATATGGAATATAGGACGAAAAACAAAGGCTAAGACAAAATCAAAGCAATAGCTAAATCACAGGAGTTTGACTCTGGACCTGAAGTTACAAGATGGGAGTGGGAGGACAGGAGGCAAAGCAGAGTACAGCAGAGGGCTAAGGTTGCCTCGGTCATGGGCATGGTGACAGCATCTGAGCAGGTGTGAGCCTAAGCCTTTGAATCACAGGAGAGACAGGAGAGGTCTGCTGTACCATGTGGGTCAGCGCTCTGGCCAGGGATCGAGCCTGTGCTGCAGAGGCTGTCGGGGCATCACAGCGCTGCAGTTTAACCCCTCATATCACCAGGGAGCCCCTGTATCCAAACTTCTCCGGTAAAATTTGAATTTAAAAGTCTGGCTTGATCCTATCCCTGTGGACACAGTCTCGCCATGTCCACACTGCTATGTCCTCCCTACATCGAGGACAGTTGGCCTTTCTGTCACATGTTACTGAGCTTCATGTCTATTCTCACGGTTAGGTGCAGGTGCAGATATCTTTGTGTCAGTATCTATCAATGACACCTTTTTCTATCTCATTTTTCCAAGTATAATGTAAAAATAACCGATAGGGCCAGTGGAACCTGGCCAGCTACTCAAGCCCAACACTTAAAAACAAACTATGTTACAAAACTACTATAGCAGAACACTTGCAATTTCATAGTAAATCAGATTCTACTCTGTGCATGTGCTATGGTGGGAGAGAAGTAGCTGTAAATACCTCCATTTGCTTCGCCACTGGCTGTTCAAATGCATTTGCCAGTTTCTGTAGGAGGATATACTTGTTGTCAGCCAGAGACGTAGACAGCATCTTCAGATCATTCTAAGGAGGCAGACAATAGGAAGACTTAACATGAGCAGCAGGATCACAAATGGTTGCAAATTAGACACCCATTCGTAACAGGAAGAGAGCAATGCTAAAATTTAATTTCAAAGAAGAAGTAATGTCCTGCAGCTGGAGGAAGAACTGGCCACAAGTTCAGTACTTTACCTAAGTACTAAAACTGACTTTTTTTTTTTTAAGATTTATTTATTTATGCATACAGAATTGGGTTATAGGCCAGAGGCTCAGGGGCGGTGAGAGGCTTCACCAGAGACAGAGTAGGGGACAGAACAGGCAGATCTACGAAGTACACTGCTGAGGGGAGCAGCGGGTGGGTCAGGAGAAGTCTGCCGCGTCCTGTGGTCACCTCCGGGGCAGGTGGGAATCGAACTCATGCGAATAGAACTCATGCGGAAGTGGCTTAAGCTTCTTAGTGCTGTGCTTTAACCCGCTGGATCACCAGGGAGGGCCACATCAGCTAGATATTAATCTGGAGCCAGAATGCAGTTTAGTTGATTACACCTAAGTGGGTCAGTTTCCTGGCTGAGAATCAAACTCAGCTGCGCTGTATTAGGAAAGCTTCACAATGTGGTATTTTAATCAATTGCACCACCAGGGAGAGCCCACTGCTTGTCTCTTTTTTTTTAGATTTATTTATTTATTCGTATGGAACTGGGGTACAGGCCAGAGATGTGGAGGCTGAGAGGATTCACCAGAGACAGAGAGAGGAGCAGAACAGGCAGATCGACTAAGTACACTGCTGAGGGGAGCAGCGGGCGGGTCAGGAGAGGTCTGCCACACCATATGGTCACCTCCGGGGCAGGCGGGAATCGAACTCATGCTGAAGCGGCTTTAGATTCTCAGTGCTGTGCTTTAACCAACTGCGCCACCAGGGAGGGCCAAAACTGACTTTTAAATAATTCTCTCTACCAGGCATTTCCAACACAATACAATGGAATCAAAGTATGTGAATCTTACCTCAAATAAAAAAAAATTAATTAAAAAAAATAAAGCAAGAACAGTCGCCCTCACCTTGTGTCTGAAATGACCTGCACATTTAAACGCTGCAACAGAAAAGCTACACTATGACTTCTAATTAACCACTAAAGTAGCCTTTAGGAAAATCCTGATTTAGGAAAAACATGATTAAGAATGATTCCATTTTTCCCTCTCCTTCTTTCTCCCATTTTCAAAGAATGTGTGCACACTTATTAAAAAAAAATAAAAATCCAGAAATTTAAAAAGATAAACATTGTCCACAATGGCTAAGACATGGAGAAATAATACAAAACGATCTTAACTAAATCTTCTTTCTCTGACATTACTGATTGAAATGTTCAAATATACTTATACTCAGTTAGTTTTGCACAGAAAGAAGCTAAGTATCAGAATTCTGGCATGCAGTTCGAAAAAAATAATGTGCTAGAAGAAAAACTGAATCAGACAATTTCTAATTTTTCCCCCGAAATATCAATAAGCTCTATTCCTTACAAGTCAGCATACTTATGTGATGGCTGCCTGATGGCCAGAGGTTGGCGTTCAACTTACTAGACTCTCTCGTGAGCACTGACCCTACCTAAATGCAAGGCAATAATAACCTGCAAAAACTCTGACCATCTCACAACTCAGAAGAATGAGCTTCTTTGAGCAGGTGCGAAAACAATATAACATAACACGCAAGGCATGCAAACATAACAGTGGATGGATTATGCAATCCAAAAAAACAATCCCAGTAATAGTACTGAGCTTGAGAATTCAAAAATAGTATCTAAACCTAGGGATGGATCATCGTTATTAACTGAAACCTGAGTCCATTTGAAAGATTAAATGTAGAGTGCCTGGTCTGGTGGCCATGGGGTGCTCATAAACACGAATGTGGTCCAGCACTAGAGCTCTGCACCATAACACAAACGTGGCCTTGGGAAATGAGATCAGAAACAAGGGTTTTGCAGGTGAATTCTGACAGTGCTTCTACTACATTCAGGTGAGGCCGTCTGGGTCATGAGGCTGTCTGTGTGCATCTGGAGAGGATTTTTCATTTAAAATGATTCAAAAGAAATAAAGTCGGCCCTCCCTGGTGGCGCAGCGGGTTAAAGCACAGCACTGAGAAGCTAAAGCCACTTCCGCATGAGTTCGATTCCGCCTGCCCCGGAGGAGATCCACATGGCGCGGCAGACCTCTCCTGACCCACCCGCTGTTCCCCTCAGCAGTGTACTTCAGCATTGATCTGCCTGTTCTGCTCCCCACTCTGTCTCTGGTGGATCCTCTCACTGCCCCTGCACCTCTGGCCTGTACTCCAGTTCTGTGTGCATACATAAATCTTTAAAAAACATTGAAACTCAAAAATTAAACTCTTTATTACTATTCTTATGATCCAGTGGGAGAATCAAGAGTCTCTGTATTGTAACACAACAATATACAATTTTTTTTTCTTAAAGTCATTGGAACTGCTTATAGGACACCAATAGCACAATCCTACCTGTTTAAGAAACAAACTCATGGGAAGTTTTAAGTTTTAAAATAAATGGTGTTACCTTACTCATTTAATTCTTTCAGTTCCATTTTCAAAATAACTTAAAATATTTTACAGACTGAGGAAATTTATTTGGGGTTAAGTCTTGGGAATAAGCTTACTAAATGATTGATTGATCTTTACAGTATAAGCTTTTAAAATGCAATATAGTTGGTATTAACTAGCTGTGATTCCACATAGATACTACATACATACATACATAACATCTATGCATTCTTCCAGATCACCTGCTGGGTGTCAAGGAAGGCCAGCAGCCTGGACATGCTAACAGTCACAGGTTAAATGAAAGCAGAAGCATACCACCACTACAGTGACCACTGAATAGGGACAGAATACCAGCATTAGTGTCAGTGTTGGTGCAAAGCAAAAGAAAATGGGTTGTGAGTTGACCTTTAGTTATGTTAACATTGGAACTTTCTCTCAATTAAACTTGTAAACAAACACTTTGAAATGTCAATTTTTATTTGTGACCTGGCCACCAAGTAGCGGAGACTTCCTGGCAGAAGAAAAATGGAGGGAATGATTTAAAGAGAATTAAATGATTACATGTTCTTGCCTTCTTTCTACACAAAAGACATTCATGCTTAGCTCCCTTTTTTTTTTTTTCATCTGACTAGCTCTACCTACCAATAAAATTTAAAATTTCCAAAGACACTAACACAGTAAATGCAACTTGCAAACAGGAATTGTACCTGCACACATTTGCACTTTCAATCCTCTTCATTCAAAGCTAAACAACATTCAACCAGATCTTGCATCCAAAAAAGAATACCCAAAGAATCAACTCCAGATTTTCTTTCTCTAAGTGAATGTTCTTTCCTCTCTAAGATTCAACCTAACCGATAGATAGGCCAGTAGTCAGTCTAGGTCACCAGTGACCCAGTCTTGCCCCTGGTAATGGCACCACCATTATCTGTCTTGTCAATCAGCAAATGCCTCGAAGATACTCAGCCAGCGTTGTCGGCTCAAAGAATATCTATATACTTTCTGTTGTTGGGGTGGTGGCAGGGGGGATGGAGAACTTAGACCTACTCAGGATGTATTTTGAAGGCACAATTAACAGGAGAGCAATTGTTGATGACTTGGATGTGGGGTGTGAGGGAGATTTGCCTACTAGGCAAGGTGGAAAAAGGAAAGGCAATGACATATGAACAAGCTTTCTGTGAATTTAAAAATGATAACAAATGTTTTACTCTTGAATTTCCAGACTGTAAACTATAGTTTAGAAAATACAGTGACACTCTATCCTGCTGGATGCACACCTAGAGAATTCTTTGTTTCTTGTCCAATGCTACATTTATTTGATAGTTTAAAGTATAATTTTGTGAGTCAAAATTATATTATCAAAAACTTGGCCCTAGTTCTAAAATCTATTTTCTAAATCCTCTATGTTTGTTAAAAATAAAATTCACCAGGCAAAGGTAGACAAGAGACCTCTTAGCAAAGAAGTTTGCAGAGAAGGCAATATATCCCAATCTCTGCAGCCAAAGTAAGCTCTCCTCTACCCCAGCACACCCAGAGCAGGGAATCCCCAGCAGATGGGATAGATACCTCTAACGAGGTAGAGAAGATTTCCTACAATTTTTTTGAATAAATATCGACCTGATACATACATTCAATTAAAACTTAAGTTATCTACTAAGGGGAATTTTTATTAGAAATGAAAATTAACACTATGAGTTTATCCCTGACTTTTGCACTGGCTGAAGTAGATAGTCATAGAGACATATTCATAAGAATACATTTGTTAACTTGGCAACAGAACTCTAACCTGTGGCTAATTGGCAATAATGAGTCTAAGGAGCTAGCACTGCGGAGTGATGCGAGGCTTTCCACAGGTAGATGTAATCAGGCCATAACCGCTGGGTAATGGAGTCTAGGGTTCACTCTATGTCAAAACTTCTCAGGTTTCTTTGGAAACACAATTTAGTTCCAATAGGATCCGCTGAAAATTACAACTGTAATTTACCATAAATATAACTTACTGGTTAAATCTAAAATTCTCTGCAGCTCTTTGTTTAATTGGGTTTTCTCTATTCTCCATTTCTCAGAGAGTAAAAGCCTTAGTTTTCTATTCCTAAGTTCAGTACTTTTTTTTTTTCTTTAGTGTTCTTTTTCTTCATGACATACCTTTGGAAAAAAGCATAGGCCCAAAATAGACTTCAATAAGACATCCCACTTGTTATGGGAAATGGCTCCAGAATGGTCAGGTAATAATGCTTACCTGGAAATTTAATATTTGCTGAAGTCTGTCCTTCATCTGATGACACCGTTGATTCACTACTGAATCAAGCAAGGATAATCTAGCTCGGAGACAACCCAGTGTGTCTTCAATGACATCACGGTTATCGCCATTCTCTGGAAATGCTTGTGAAAACAAGTTCTTGTTCTTGTCCATTTCTTCAGACATTTCCTTAATATCTTTGGCAAGAGTCTATGGTTGATCAAAGAGAAAGTTCATTACCATGTTTAGACACATGAATCTCTATACAAATCAAGTCACAGCCTCATAGGAAGTTCACCGTATCTCTTACTGTTCTATTTTAACTACTTCGGATTTTAATGCAACCATTTTATACTTCGCTGTCTTTATACATAACATTATCCATAACAAAATGTCATACACTCTGATGTCTCATACATTCACAGACACAAGCCACCAAATTACCTCTTGGTTGAAGAGACAGGTCTCCGTTTCTTCTGGTAAAAGTGCAGTCACTACAAACAAACGTTCCTCAACATCATCCAGCCAAGTGGAGGTAGCAGAGACCCCATCATACAACTTCTGTTCCAAGTGAATGTTCTGCCTCTTTGTCCCTCCACCCTGGGACAGAGGTGGGGGAGGGAGACAAAGAGTGAATTTTAATGTTTTGAGGAATCAAAGAAAAGTCAGAGGTATTTTGGGACTCAAAATCTCCCCGACAGTCAAGGAACAAGGAACTATAAGCACACAAAGGTGCCTGGCAGTCATGAACACCAAGACGCCAATGCCAAGACATCAAGAAAGGCCAGGGCCCAGGGGCTGTACTTTGGGGCTGATCGACATTGGGTCTCACCCATTTGTGGACAAAAATAATTTTCCTGAAACCAGGTCCACTAACAAAGCCACATCACCAGCCTACCTGGGAAGAAGCTTCCTCAAAGGCTTGGTTCAGACCACCCAGCAAAGATGTCACCGCTGATTTCTCCTGGGTCTGCCTGTCCCCCTCGTACAGAGGCACACCAGACAGGAGCCGGTTTGGGCAGCTGTAAAGCTAGAAGCAAACACACAGGGCAGCCTGTGAAGCGCCGATGTGCCAAGTCCAGGTTTTCCTACTCAGATATGCACACTGATACCACCGTGGGAAAACATGACCTCGTAGTCATTCCCATGTGGTTCTAGAGGCGAGGGCGATATGAAGCTGAACTTAAATATTACAGTCCTCAGATCCTGTGGGAGAAGACAGGGGCCAGGCTCCCCCATAATCTCCATGGTGGAGGGTGAGGTCCCAGGACACCACTGAGAGAAAAAGTAGCTCTCAGGGTGAGAGCAGGTAGTGCGTGAGACATGCAGGTGTGCAGATGTCAAGCAGACTCCAGATTCCACACATGACCAGTTCATGAGTGGAGAAGCAAGTAGTACTAGAAATGTCCTGAGTTTATCTGATGTAGGAGACTTTAAAAAGCCTGCATTTACTGATTAGGGACAGTAAATCCCCCTTGCAGCCTAAGGAGTGGAGAAATGCTGTAGCATGAAGGTGAGCCTACAGTCGAGGCCAGGAAACGTACACCAAAAATCAAGAATTGGAGCTGTGTGTCTGGACTGTCTCATCAGGGCCAGCACAGGTATAGGAGGTCCATGCCAAAGGGACAGGGCACCATTTGCAGGGTCAAGTAGGATCTCACAGCTGCCCCCAGGAACAGAAGGCTTTCTAGACCCCAAGGTCACTGCTGGTGACTATTCCTGTGGGCAGAGGCGAAGAAGTCTCCTGGTTGGAGAAGAAAGTGAGGACAGAGGGCCTGGCACAGCAGAGAGCTTGCACAGTGGGATGAGTGAATGACCGTGCAGGGATCACGTCTGGTTCCCTAGACCAGGGGACACATGGTCTTGCAACCACCGCCTTTCAGGTCAGCTGCCAGGCTGTAGCTGCTTTCCAGTGCATGTTTTGTCAATGCCTTACTCCCCCTACTCAGATGCACTGGGCTACTGAGAGCCCCTTTCTGACCAGACTCTCCCAGCCCCTACACTAGTTCTGCCCAGAGCATGGGAACAGCCGCTCCTCATACCCACAGTAAAGATCACAGACTTTACTCTGATGAAATTTGGGTCAAGGAATAACCGGATCAGCATTGCTGGCCCAAGACCTGGGGCTACATCTGATAGTTATAATTTTTTGGCCATGTCTTTAGGAAACATGGCAGGCTTGCAGGGCTCCTGGCTTACTTTACTCGCTAACACACTGATGCCTCCAACCCTCAGCTGTTCTCTAGCTCTGCTAGGAGTGTGGGAGTGAACTAGCAGCTATTACTGACCTAGAACCTTCTGGAATGATATCAATGTCACTTGGCATGGTTGGTGGTACTAAGCCCAACATCACATGTACCCATCTTGGGAGCCAGTCTACAGATGGTCAGTTGCCATTGGTTTCTTCTTCTGACCCATTAAGGTTCCAATATGCTATTCACTTAGTGTTGAAATTAATAAATTCTAGAAGGGGCAATGAGAAATAAGGTAACTTGACAATTTACTGTCAGCCTTATGGAATTTCTTTTGTGTTATATGTGTACATTCCTGATTTGTCTTCTTAATATTCAAAGTTGTTAAAATGGGGGGGGGGCTATTTAAAACAAAATGTTTCATGTTAATGAGTAATCAGGTAGTGATCATCTCTGAGGGAAACAGTATCTAGAAATGAAATAAACTTCCATGTAAAATGCCTACTTATTGAGGGAAATGTGAAACAGGTTTGTTAAGTAAAATGTAGGGTCATTTGTTTCATGTGATATTTTGATTGACAATGAAAATATAGATTCTTACATAGTTAAATTTCCTTAGCATACATAATCTATACATTTTTATATTGCTTAATTCAGAAAAGCAAAATATTAGGTACCACTTGTTCTTGTTCCTGTTCCAGAACATTCTGCAGTAGTTTCTGCTTGGTACTAAATTCTTGATGGAGACTTTCCCATTTCAATCTCATCTGGTCTTCAGCAGGTGACTTCTCCCCATTCATCCCCAACTCCTGGGATAACACATCAGGTTTTTCGCTATTAGAAGAATAAATAATCTAAGTTTACAATGTGTGCAAAATAAATTCTAGGTAATTTATTGCGTCTACTATAGCTGGTCTCTAAACTTGGAACTAGATAATTTTAGTCATTAGCTTATATTTCAAAGATATAAATTAGAAGAGAACATTTGTGATTAACCATAAAACAGTCTTATTCACAATATAACAAAAGCATAATCATAATTTAAAAAGCTTAAAAGTACCCCAGCATTTAAAAGAAAATAACTATAACTTGTGGAAACAAAAACTATGGTATGATTAGACTGGTATCCTTTGACAAATAATCCACAAATTAATTAACAAACCCTAGTAAACACTGCCTTGTCTATTGACTAGAGTGTTTAAAGAAAATACTATAGAACAGATTTCATGATGTGGAAAATGAGTACGGAATAAGCTGGGGATGTTGCAGAATTATCCTTACAGATAAGGATAGCAGAGTGGCATCTGAGAAAGATTACAGTTTCTAGGGTGAGACAGCATGGGATGATATTGTTGCTACAGGACATGAGATTTATGAATTCGACTAGTACGGTTCACTTCTCTAAGCTTAAATTTCTCCTCTTCACAATGGACACAGTGTCTATCTTGTAGAATTATGAGAGCTAGAGTTAGAGAAGACATGCCTATTGATCAGTATTATCTGGCAAAGAACAGTGGCTCAGTAGATGGTGTCCATTACAATGGGAACGGTAAGAATCCAGGGACCCAAGTTCCCAGAGACCCTGATTTATCAGGGTCTTAAAGGCTTACCAGGACTGTGCAATTATGATTTGACAGAACCTTCAGCTCAAGAGGGAAGAAGATAACAACTTAATTGGCAGATTAATTTTACACAATATATTATAAACCAATTATTCTCAGAATACATATTAAACTCAACAGTTGCTTTGAGTGAGTTTGTTTATGATGTATATATCTGCTTCTAGGCTATAACTTAGAGAATCTCTCTTGTCTGTGCACCAATACTCATAAGAAGATTAAGGTTTAATTCAACAATGCAAATAACAGTGAGAAAGAGACCAACACTGTAAATACCAATCAATCGGAAATGGGTAAATAAGTTGTTAGGTTCACAAGGTAAAACAATGCTAAGTAGTTTGTATCTGCTGTATGTATGTATCAACATGGAAGGATCTAAGAAAGTTATGAGTGGAAAAAAAACTCAGACAAATGAATACCTCCACTTTTGTGTGTTATATGAATTTTTGGACTTGTTGTGTATATTATTATTTTTTTAATGAACAACCTTGAAAGTCATTATGAAATTAAGTTATAATTAAGAAATTAATCATACTGTCTGCTGGCATGGTGGGCTGTGGGGAATCATTTCTAACTCATCTATGTTTGTAAATCAAGGGACAGCAAATATCTATATTCTTGTATTTATCCAAGTGCCATTAGAAATAGACCATAATGTAGCATTTCTGATACATAATACTCTTCTTTCCCTCTGATTTTTACATAAATTAATTTCCAGTGATTTTCCTTGTAATCTTGGAAACAGCTTTCTATTTACCTTCCTATGAGTCACATAGTATTTATCCTCCATATATTCAACTATGTCCAGGAAACAAGTCCTGTGTCTCCTACTAGTCTTCCTGACATGAACCTATTTACATATGACCTTTCTAAAAGTCAGCTAACAAGTTAATGCTGACAACAAGATCCTATTTCCTACTGATGTCATTTTGATCTCTTATATATAGAGATAAGTACATTTTCTTAGAGCTTAATTCATGGTTTGTTTACTTGATATAAACATGTGAAATTAAAAAGCATGGCTGAACTACAATTAAATAAATTTTCAGGTGATTTGGCTAAAGAATCTGTATAAAAATACTAGTATTTATCAGCAGTTTGAAATTGAATCTTGTGTAAAAAGCCGGTACTGCATCATCAACCTCTGTTAAAAATATTTTTATATTTGCAAGCATAATTTATAGTTGTTTGTCTTTCAGCTGGGGCTTTTCCAAGGCTAAAGGCCAAGGGAAGTCAAAAAAAACCTCATGGCAAGAAAGTTGCCAAAGATTCCTCCTGCTTCTCTTCTGCACCCATCCGGATAGGATGAGAAAGCAGGTGTGGATGAGTCCTTTCAAAATTAAAGCTTGGAAAAAAATATTTGAAAACCTATGAAGGGTAGCAGGTGAATAAACATTTGAGAAGAACTGGAAGTAACGAAAATGCAAAAAGAAGCCTCACCTCCACTATGGGGAAAGAAAACCCTGTCCTACCTTAGACTCATCACACACATTTCAGTGGCCTTGTCAACATTTTTAAGCATGAGCAACAGGGGCAATTTCTTTAACGCCTTTCTTTATATTTTAACAGAATTTTGTATAGCTTTGGGTTTATTTTAATGCAACTTCTGATTGTAGATATCATAAGAGTATTCATTCCCGTTCCTTAAAAAGGGTATTTATTGGCTGTATCAATAGTTCTACTACTATTTTGTTTTTCTTTTTCTTGAATGTCTCACTGTTTTAATAAATCTTATTATAGCAGAGTCTACTTCAATTAAGCATTAGTTTGACTGTCCTCTATCACTTTCCCTTGAAAACGTATGTGTGTTTGTATATATGTGTGCATGTACCAGTGTGTGTGTGGGGGGAGTGTCATGTCAGCAACATTGTATCAGCATTAACTCAACTTTAAAAAAATAAAAGAAACATATTTAAACCCATACTCTTCAGAGTTAGTTCTGATGAGTTACACTATATTCTGGTTCTTAGGGTACACAGGCCCCTATGATAATGTACTCTGCCATACATCCATTTGTCCTGCTTTCAATTCTATATCACAATTTTACTTGATATCACATATATATTTTGGATACTGTATAATTTTGATTAAGATCACATATGCATGAAATTCTTCTTGGTTTTTAGACTGGTGGTCATTTTTACCAAAGTTTCAAAATATTTCAAAAAGCATCTTTGTGATGTGGTACATATACACAATGGAATATTACTCGACAATCAAAAAGACAAACACATGACTTTTGCAGCAACACAGATGGAGCTGGAAGGGATCATGCTTAGTGAAATATACCAGAAAGAAAAAGAAAAATACTGGATGGTTTCACTCATGGTGGGAGCATAAAGGACCAGGGGGGTTAAAAATAATAATAATAATGAACAACTATATACCAGAGACATTTTACGGGGGTGGACTGGGGAATGGGGTCAAAAATGGGAGGGTGAAGTGCACTGGACTATAGTAATAGCACATGGGTGATTTGATGATAGGGGATTACAACTGATATGGAAAAAAGGCACAAAATGATGTAAAAGTAAATTATTATATTATATAAAAAAAGAGAACATGTTGGAAAAAAATTCATCTTTGTGATCTGTATTTTCTCCTTGAGATATTTCTTTCAAACAAAGGCTTAGATGAGAAATGGAGTCAAAGTATTGCACTATTTGGTTGCCAAGGGACACTTCAATGGCAATCTTTGGCAATACTGAACAAAAAAGTTCTACTGAAATTCTTAAAAAAATATTTTGATTTTAAGAAAAGTATTCTTAGGTATCTTCTTGATTGGCAAAACTTTCACGACTTTTTTATGATGGAAAGAGTTTATTACTTTATTTTGACAGTTGAGCAAGCGAGGTTCAGAGTTGAGTTGTGTTTCCCAGGGGAAAGCTGAAAAATTGGAGTAAAACCGAGACCTGACTCAAATTACAGGGACATTGCTGCTTTACTCCCTTCACCTTCCGATCTTGGAAACCAGAAACATCAACTTGAAGGTTCTTCAACTGCCTCATTTTGTTCTTTTAACATTTTACTTTACTTTGCAAAAGCCTTTCAGTATCCTCTCAAGCCAAGGTCAAAACTCAATAGCTTTACATGCAAAATAAGAAAAACAGATCAAGGTTGTAGACATGTACATTTCATTTTCAGAATGATGTTAAGGGAACACAGGTACTTGGAGGAAAGTTACTGGCAGTTCGAGAGCATCATTCCTTTAGAAACATCATAGGTCTAAATTTATAATATTTTGATGATTTGACTTTTTTAATGTACCCATACGCATTTTCTCTGGACAAATATTCTTACTATACTGGAAAGAAACAAACAAACTAGCCATTTTAAGTACTGCTATATTTGTGTGTGCAACAAAATATTAAAAATTCAAGTCATTTAAATAAAGCAAAAAAAAAAATCCCTACATTTTTGCAGAAGATGATTAAGCTAAAAATGTGAGTAAGATGTTTCCATTTCAAATTGGTCCAAACACTATGGAAAGCTGTGTAGAGGTTCCTGAAAGCACTAAAAATGGACCTGCCACATGATCCAGAAATTCAGCCCTAGGAATCTACTCAAAGTGCACAAAAGCACGAATTCAAAAGGACACGTGCACCCCGTGTTTTCTGCAGCACTATTTAGAACGGCAAAGATATGGAAACAAACCAAATGCCCCCAAACAGATAGCTGGATCGACACGACTTGGCACAGAGACACACCACAGAGCACAACTTCACAATCAAAAAAGATAAACTCGTGCCATTTGTGGCAACGTGGAATGAGCTGGAAGGGATTATGCCACATGAAATAAGTCAGAGGGCAAAAGAAATACCAGATGGTCTCACTTACATGTGGACAGCCAAACCTGGTTTAAGACAAAACTTGCAAACTGACCATAGATAGGAGACCTCCATGGGGGGCGGGGGGAGGAGGAGCCAAAGTAGGGGTGGGGAGCACGGGATGGTGATGATGGTCCCCGTGCTGTGGTGGGGGAGACCACAGGGACTCCATCAAATAGTGTCCAGAAATGAACCGCTATGTAAGAAAATGAATGAGCGAAGGAACGGACTGTCAAATTATAATAAACAGGCAGTGAAAAATGTTTGCATTTCTTCGCACACCAAGAAAACACAGTGACAGGAGAGACAAGGTGTTCTGAAACCTACCCCAAGCCAGGGGTCTCTGCCGCTGAGTGCTGGGTGAGAATTTCCTCTCCACGGCTGGCTACTGATCGCAGGAGGCTCTTCTGCTCTGCTAACTCCTGCTCCAACTCCTGCTCAAGTGAAAGGACACATAAAAACCTTTGTTACTTTATGATCATGGACTAAAGTTGTGATTCTGTGTTTGCAAAATTCTTTGAGGATATTTGCAGTAAGATATTTTATTTGCACACTTCATAAAAGGTGTGGCTTTCCGGGCCCTTCCTGGTGGCGCAGCGGGTTAAAGCACAGCACTGAGAATCTAAAGCCACTTCCGCATGAGTTCAATTCCCGCCTGCCCCGGAGGTGACCACATGGCGCGGCAGACCTCTGCTGGCCTGCCCGCTGCACCCTCAGCAGTGTACTTCATCGATCTGCCTGTTCTGCTCCCTGCTCTGTCTCTGGTGAAGCCTCTCACCGCCCCTGCACCTATGGCCTGTACCCCAGCTCTGTATGCACAAATAAATAAATCTTAAAAAAAAAAAGGTGTGTTTTTTCAAGGGAGTTGCAACTAAGATGGAAAAATACACCAAAAAAATGTAAAAATAAACTAATATAATAAGAATAATAATAAAAGGTGTGGTTTAGGTAAATATGCAAATGTGACAGAGTATTCTCTCATTTTCTTTTGCTTGAGCATAACTAACGCAAAAAAATCAACAGGAAATGAAAATGCTGCAAGACAATGGCGCCCTCAAGTGGTACAAAAGTGGTAATTTATCGTTCAAAATCAATAGTCCCTCCTCTAACTGGGCAGATCCTTGAAAGGAAGTTCCATAATTTCCCACTTATTTGATAAATTGGATTATCAATGGATATGGCTTTGCTTTTTCATTGTTTATAATAAATATACTCCTCTATTAGAAAAGAAAATATCTTCATATACCCTCTACATAAAATGATCAATGAAAAATCATCTTATTTAACCAAGCTCGCTGTTTCACCAGGCACCAATATGCAATCCTATTTAGTGATGATATCTACTTAAAAGGAGGAAGTAAGCTGCACTTATTGAAAAAGATGCAATTCAGATTTTCACCAATTCATGATGATATGCAGATATATGTACATATATAATAGACTAAAATTGGAGCAAATCTGAAAGTAGACTAGGTATCCATGATCTGGCAGAGTGTAACCGAGTGATGTATTTACCCATATAGCTTTACATAGATATCTGTAAACCTAAACACAAATTTTTCTTAAGGACTAGACTTCCAATGACCAAGCATACCCCCTTGGTCGTTAGTACACTGAAACAGATCTTGCCTCTGCCCAAAGACAGGAAAAGGGTCTTTCTGACTGTAATACAGAAGCAACTTGTCCTTCTAGAACAATGTCCTCCCACTGGTTCCCACATCTGCAGAGGAAGAAAGGTAGGAGGTGCTGTACTTTTTGCTGCTGGAGGCTGTTCTCTCGCTGGTATGTCCACGTGGAGCGTGCCTGGACCAGCCACTCCTGGACACTGGGGCTCTGCGCGGCAGTGAGGTCAGCCTCGCTCTCCTCCTTCTCCTGTCCGCTTCCCTGCTTTTAAGGAGGCAGAAATCAAGGGTCAAATACAGCAGGAAAACCATTTGAGATGGAGCAGGACAACTTTAGTTTGATGTGTATAAAGACAACATTCAGAAGTAAAACCACGTTACAAAATGGTAACCCAGCGCCCTCCCTGGTGGCATAACGGGTTAAAGCACAGCACTGCAAGTTAGCTGCAGCTGCTTCAGTGCCAGCTCAATCCTGGCCCTAGAGGTGACCCACAGGGTGTGGCAGACCTCTCCTGACCGCCCGCTGCTCCCCCTAGCAGTGGACTTCGTGGATCTGCCTGTTCTGCTCCCCACTCTGTCTCTGGTGAAGCCTCTCACCACCCCTGTGCCTGTGCCTGTACCCTGGTTCTATATGCACAAATAAATGAACCTTTAAAGAAAAAGATGACCAAGCATCTGGTTTTAAGTAGCACCATGGGGCTGCCTTGGCCTGATAGGTGCTATTGCACTGACAAACCCTTCAGAATGGTTGGCTGGAGACACCTCACCCTTCTGCTCCGCTCACCACTGTCTGACCAAGAACTTTTCTTGCAAATCCCCACACCAAATTAGTGTTGGAATAAATGACCACTGAAAGTCGAGGTCTCAAGAACAGCATCACCTCATGTGTGCATGCGCCCATGCCCATTCAGATGCTAAGACTTTCACAGGGGAATCATACTGGACTAATTGAACACGTAACTATTTGTTCGAGAATCTATTAGCAGGCAGCGTCAGAAGCAGATGTCTAGTAAACGTGGTTAGGTTTGGTTTTTCATTTGGTGAGTTTTTCTCTTATTGACTTAGTCATTTTGCAACCTAATACTTGGATCACAGAAAAAAAAAAAAGTTTAAGAATCTAGCTCAAATGTCATCCTCCTCCCTTGGGAAGGGAAGGCCCTGCAAAATGAAAGAAACAATGGTAATTACTTTCTCTGGAGTCTGATAACAGTTTTCTCTCCTGTTAGGGATTAGCAGTAAGGCTCTTCTGTCCCCAGAATTCCCCTCTGGGTAGGGCTCCATAAGCTGTTTGTTTTTGAAATGCTAGAACCTCAGCTACTTTGCCAGGAACATTCCTTGGAAGATTAGTGAGGATGGGGGAATGCTAAGCATTAAATAAGACACTTTTCTTTAAGCCATTTCATCAGAGTAGCAAGCTCTCTTTCCTCTGATGAATGATATTGTGTGAAAGAGACTTAACTAAAAAGACAGTGCTACAGGCACTAAGTCTGTGCGCCTTCTTAGAGAGAAGAAAGCCATTAGCAGGAAACAAAAGGATAGTAATTCACTAATATGCGTAAAATCCGGTTAGCACATCATTCTGACAGATAAGTGGCATGAATCTGCATGAGGGTGCCACACCAGATTTAGCAAGATTTCCCGATCTTCCTGAATGATTCCCACACCAAGGAAGTCCTCTCACACATTTCCTGGAAGGCCATTTTTCCCAATTAATATTAGCTCACTTCAGCACAAACTCCAAAATAAATTCAATTTCAGATCAACTCTGAATTCAGTTTGCTAGACAAAGGAAAAGGAATCTTTTCATGCCACTGGTAATGTAAATGAGGTTCCTTTTATTCCTGCCATCAGAAACGCTAATTTAGAAAATCGCCCATATTTTATGTGCTGGAAATTCACCTGATAGTGGAACTTACAGAGATTTTAAAAATAAACAGTGATCAGTTTCAGTGCAGTGAAACATTGCGGGATGATATTTACACCTTCCAGGGTGGAACTCACCCTGGCCAATGGGGCAGTCTGGACTCTCAGCAGGGATTCGGGGTGCTGGGCCGGAGCCCAGCCCCACCAGCGCCAGACCAGCACCTCAAGGCAGTGGGAGCTCCAACCTCCCACACAGTGTGGTGTGGAATGAACTGGTTAGTATTCATTCTAACACTTGCTGCAATTACACTGCTAGCTGTCAGCTTGACTTGCCTTGACATCCTCAGGATTTTCCTTGAAGTTAAATACTTCTTGTCCCTTTTTCCCAGAGGAGAAAACTGATCTGTTAGAAAGGCTGCAGAAGGCTCAAAGCTGTCTCCCCAGGTCACCAGATTCAGAATGCCCAAGCAAGTTGGGGAGACTTTAGGACCTCCTGTCCAAAGTCATGGCCCGAGAGCCAGGTCTGGCTTCTGGGTATGCTTGGCTTGGCACACGGATTATTTAAAAATGCCAGCATTTTCAAATTGGGAGACTTTAGATATGAATCCAAATTTCTTTGGAGCCCAGCAGTGCTGCCTATAAATTCTTATAGGACAATCGCTGGATTGAGTAATGGCGCTTCTCTGACACTGGGCAGGCTGGCCACTGACTGACCCTGCTGCTTCCCTCATCAGTGTGCCCTTCCCTGGTCAGAGCTTTAGGCTTTGTGCCTGCACCCCTCCAGGGGCCCCTCACCTTCCCACCTGCCTGTGGGAGATGTCAACAGGTGCTATGAGTGATGGCGATCCAGGCATGAACCTTTCCTGTCTTTCCTTTTCTTTCGAGATTAAATTTATCTGCCTATCACAATGGGGGTGTTGGGGAGATGCATCATACATAGTATCGATCTTGACTTTTTAAAATATGAAGTGAACCCCATTCTTTTGTAGTTGGAAAATCATCCTAGTTTTGTTCAATTTGAGTATTTTTAATACTTTTCACTTTAATGCACAGTCAGATTGTATGAGCAAAAGGATGTAAATTTAAGATGAAATGTTGTATTTTTAATGTGTACTTATTACCCAAGAGCACTTTCAAAAATATCTTTTTATATGATCAGTGACCTCTTGTACTTTTTTTCCCTTTGAATTATCTCTTCACATCTTCTGCCCATATTTCTATTAGATGACCTTTTCTTATTCTTTAATTTTTTTTTTTAATGTATCTATTTAGGCCCTCCCTGGTGGCAAAGCGGGTTAAAGCACAGCACTAAGCAAAAGCCACTTCCGCATGAGTTCGATTCCCGCCTGCCCCGGAGGTGACCACATGGCACGGCAGACCTCTCCTGACCGCCCGCTGCTCCCCTCAGCAGTGTACTTCGTCAGTCTCCCTGTTCTGCTTCCTGCTCTGTCTCTGGTGAATCCTCTCATCCTCCCCATCTCTGGACTGTACCCCAGTTCTGTATGAATAAATAAATCTTAAAAAAAAAATGTATCTATTTAGTGTAAGAACTGGGGCGTAGGCTAGAAGTGCAGGGGGTGAGAATATTCCCCAGAGACAGAGTGGGGAGCAAAATAGGCAACCCACTGAAATCCACTGCTGGGAAGCAGGGGGCGAGACAGGAGAGGCCTGCCGCGCCCTGTACTGGCCGGGGATTGAACTCAGGCCGAAGAGAGGCGCCATAGTGGTGATAAAACTGAGACTTAACCCCTAGGCCGCCAGGGAGGCCCCACCTCTTCTTACCGACTTACAAAGCATTTGTGAAATTTAAGAGAATTAATTACTTGTTCATGGATTGAATAAGTTTTTCCCTAATTTAAGAGAATTAATTACTTGTTCACGGATTGAATAAGTTTTTCCCTATTTATCCATGTCTTATAATTTGCTTAACACTGTTCTGGTCATATAGCACTTTTTCTTTTTTTTGCAAATGTTCTAAAGAAATTGAAATTCTGGGATTTGGACATGACAGTGAAGTCCCTTCCCAATCTAAGCGTTTTTTAAAATACATTCAGAACCTTTCTGATTTAATTTTTACATTTAAATCTTTGTCTATCTGTGATGTTTTATCTTACAAAGAATGGGATAGGGAACAATGTTTCTCATATTCAAGTGGTAGGCCTACTATTATTATCTATATAGTGAATCATATTTTGCCCACTGCTTTGAAATGACGATCTTTATATTAGGACCTCCTTCTAGCAGATTTAATCGGATTAATTTTTTGTTCATCTATTTAGTCATTATGAAACTATTCTGTTCTAATATTGATTTTCATACATAAGACTATTTAATGCTTTCTAACTTCTCGTTCTGTGAATTTTTGACTGTTATTGCATTTTTTAAAATAGGTAAACCTGGTCATTCCGTCACATTCCAAAAATTACACTGTTCCTATTTTATCTCATTTTTTTCCACTTGTGGTAGTTTGGCATCTCTTTATTACTATGTTATACTCCATTTCATAACTATACCACAATTTACATATCCTTTTTTCTGAACTGAAGGGCAGCCATATTTTTTTCCAGTTGACTGTTACAAATAAAGCTCATATGGCTATTTTTTTTCCATTTACGTAACATTATTTTTCAGATACAGTTTTAGATGAGAATGACTTAAAAGTTTGTGCTAGTAGAGAATTTAACATGGAGGCCACTGAAAGGAAAGTTTAACAACATGGCGAAATTATCTCACCAAAACTCCAGTAACATAAAATGAAAATCGCTACTAGGAAACATGAGCTTCACTCTCACTCACAGTGGTAAAAGCATTCAATTCTCCTGGAATATGTAACAAAGGTACAGTGGGCCCTACGAAAAATAATGTGTACATATTTATAAATCTGACTACAGGAGGAATACAGCAGAGATGTTATAGGATCTCTTACAATGACGAGACATCAATATTTCTTAAAGCAAAGTATTCGGTAGATTTGGATAATTCTTACCATTTTCTTTCTTTTCCTACAGTGTAATCTTCAGGTGTGTGGGCTCAAAGTTCTTCTGAAACCCAGGTGAAAATTACAGTAAGCTTTTGGGAAGCAGGAATGTACCTAAGTATCAGCTGTCAACCTGTCCTGTCTGCGTTACAGACTCAGAGAGGCGCCCACAAGGGCTGGCTGTCCCTGGGGCGCAGCCCTCACCTTGATGTTGAGTTGCTTGCTGTGCAGGGCTGTCTGCAGCTCCAGCAGGCTGCCCTTCAGCGTCCTCAGCTTTACGGCCAGCTGCTCAGCCTCATCCCTTGTGTGAGCCTTGCCTTCCAGAAGCAGGTTTTCATTGTGGACCGAGAGCTCTGACAAGGTCACCACCTTCTGCTCAATTTCCACCAGCATGTTCTGGAACCACAGAAATAAGGATGCAGTCACATACCCACCAGCCTCTGCAAAGACCTGTTCTCTCTTGACTCTTTGGTCAAAAGGACATGTCTTTGTGGTTTTCCCCTCATTTTGAAGAGTAGTCCACAGATTTAAAAAAATGACGTGAACTTCTCAATGTTCCTCTTTTTAAACATTAGCCTTGACATAATGAGTATTATGTGGGAAAACCATGAGAAGCACATTTTATGCAGCCCACATAATATACATTAAAAATAGTGTTACCTGTGTTATTTTCTTATATTACTTACATTGTGCTTTCTGTGTTTTGATAATAATAAAGACATCATAAGATTGACCCTTTGTCTATTTAAATAAGAGTCTCTTTCCAAACATGACTTCCTTGCATTGATTTTATTTTTCACTTCCTCTCCTTCTCTTTTTTGCTTGCTTCAATATTTTTGATGAGATATGTTTAACCCTGCATTTTCACAAGTTTTCTGAGAATTTTTACTTTCTTTTTCTATGACTATTCTATCATGCTGCAAGGATTTCTTCTAAGATGGGCACTAAATTCAGAGAAGTAAAACAGCCTTCCTTTGGCTGTGGTAAAATTTAAAAAATGGGACAAAAATCACAGCAAAATAATAAATTTTATTTTCTGCAGAATCAATTCTATTTTTAAATTCCTTACTTCAGAAATTTTTGAAATGCACTTTCTAATTTATACTCAATCAATTTGTTAATGAAAAATATATCTTATTTTCCTGGTACTAACTTAAGAATATTGCTTTGAGCCCCAAAATGAAACAGTGAAACTCTTAATGAAATGGAAGCTTAAGAACTGATTTCCTGAGGATTACTTTTGAGACACTAATTCTGTGAAGAGCCAACTTCCATTTGGCACAATTAGTATAATCCTTAGTGCCAAGGATACTGCCAGAAGCCAAGCAAATACCTTAATATTTCTTTCTTTCAAAATCAGTAGAAAGGGGCCCTCCCTAGTGGCGCAGTGGGTTAAAGCACAGCACTAAGAAGCTAGAGTTTGATCCCCACACCGGAGGTGACCACATGGCATGGCAGACCTCTCCTCACCAGCCCTCTGCCCCCTCAGCAGTGTGCTTCGTCAGTTGGCCTGTTCTGCTCCCTGCTCTGTCTCTGGTGAATCCTCTCACCGTACCTGCACCTCTTAGCCTGTACCCAGTTTTGTATGCATAAATAAATAAATATTTTTTTAAAAAAATCAGTAGAAAGGCCCTCTCAGGTGGTGCAGTGGGTTAAAGCACAGCACTAAGAAGCAAAGCCACTTCAGCATGAGTTCAATCCCCACCCTGGAGGTGACCCACATGGGCCAGAAGACCTTTCCTGACCCACCGCTGCTCCCCTCAGCAGTGTACTTTGTCATTCGGCCTATTCTGCTCCCTATTCTGTCTCTGGTGAATCCGTTCACTACCCCTGCACCTCCACCTGATACCCATATTCTGTATGCATAAGTAAATAAATCTTTATAAATAAATAAAATAAATAGCCGTTCTGTATGTGACTAATAAAAAAAATCGCCAAGTAACCGTTTATTTCTGTGGTGTCATATATTTCTTGTTTCTTAAAAATATGGTCAAAATACATTTTATTCTTTGTAAAAGTCCTGGAATACACTATCTGAATTACAGACTTCATGCATGAGTATAAAAATAAGACATCCCAAAAGAAGATGTGGGAGTAATGATAAAACATAATTTTGTAAAGCTAGTACATGTGGTAATTTCAAGCTCTGGAAGCGAAACTAAAATTAGATGTCTCTTTTGCGTTAAAAAAATTAGAAAAGATTATATAAAGACTAGGAAATCATCCAGTGGCTCTCTATTCTCTTCATTAAGGCAGAGAAGAATAAAGCTTTGCATACAAATGGATTATCCAAAGAATTTAAAAATTCAAATTATAATGATCAGTATTATACATCTCAAATCATAAATGGGAATGACTCAAACACCATGTTACATATTAAGAAAATGAATGTTTTTTGCACACTTAATGGTAAAAGAAACATTAACCTAAACAGAGATAGCTTACTGTTATTTAGAAAATTTTTGCACTCCATATAACTGACAAGGGACTGACCATAAAGATCTACAAAGAACTCACATAACTTAACAAAAACAAAGTAAACAATCCAGTCAAAAAATGAGCAGAAGACCCAAAGAAGAAATGCAAGTGGCCAACAGATATATGAAAAATGTTCAACATCACCTGTAATCAGGGAAATGCAAAGCAAAACCACAATGAGATACCACATTACTAGAATGGCATATATTAAAAAAACAGAAAACAGCAAATATTGGTGAGGATATAGAGAAAAAGCAACTCTCCTACACTGCTGGTGGAAATACAGACTAGTCCAACCACTATGGAAAACTGTGTGGAGTACCCTCAAACTACTAAAAATGGGGCTTCTATATGGCCCAGCTATTCCACTCCTAGGAGTCAACCCAAAACACACCAAAAACACTAATTCAAAAGGATACCTGAACCTTTATGTTTATTGCAGCACTATTCACAATTTAAGTAGGCTATGGAATCGCACTATTCACAATAAGTAGGCTATGGAATCAACCCAAATGCCCCAAAATAATGACTGGATCAAGAAGATGTGGTACATAGACACAATGCAGTATCAGCTACCTATGTAAATAAAAGAGTTTCGACCGCTTACTTCAGTAAAGTCTAGTGAGTTGGTAACCACTGAGGTTCCTTGATAGCACAGGGCAATTGTTAGTTCTTCTCTATACTATCTAATGAAATTATATATAATGAAATGATAAGAAATGAAGAATACAATTGTATCACCGGAGGCCTTTCAGGTATCTTTGAAACTGCTTAAACTATATTTCAAGTAAAGCTGATGTAGGTGGGGCTTTTTTTAAGATTTATTTATTTATGCATACAAAACGGGGGTACAGGCCAAAGGTGCGGGGGCGGTGAGAGGCTTCACCCAAGACAGAGTGGGGAGCAGAACAGGCAGATCAATGAAGTACACTGCTGAGGGGAGCAGTGGGCAGGTCAGAAGCGGTCTGCTGTGCCATGTGGTTACCTCCAGGGTGGGGATGGAACTAGTGCTGAAGTGTCTCTTGCTTCTTGGTGCTGTGCTTAAACCTACTGCACCACCAGGGAGGGCCCTGATGTAGGTGTTTTTAAAAAAAACAAAACAAGCAAATAAAAACAACCTTTGTGCCATTAGCTCTAACATTAACTCTCAGGTACATGACATCAAAGGCAGGGCCTTCTGTTTCAAGTTCAGTCTTTCTGTTTGCCTATAATTGACAGTTTTTCCCTCCTCACCTACCCCCCCCACACACACAAAATCAAAATTAGAACCAAAATTTCCACAGAACAGCTAGGCACACATCCTGTTGTGTCTATGCACAATCTGACTCACTAATTCTTCTCATTAAGTTTGTTTTCCTTGTTAGTCTAAAGATAGATACCAGAAGTATGCTGATAACTAGACACTGAAAAAACTGTTCTTTAGAAAACTGAACATTTTCTAAAGATCAGATATTACTGAAGTAATTTTTCAAATGATAAGTTCCAAGTTAGGATTTCATTTAAGCTTTTATAAGCTCATTTAAGCTTGGACAAGCTTTTCAAAGCTTTCATTAAGCTATTTTTTTTCTATTCTCTAGATAAATAGCGACCACACCTATGGGAAGAAATTCATATTATTTAAAAAATGAATGAGGATGTAAAACAATGATAGTTCAATAAAAGTATATTTAAAATAAATTATACATATAAAGTATAATAACTGTCAAAGATCAGGTATTCATGTCAAGCCTTCTCATCATTATGTTTTCTGTAATTAAAAAATGTACTTTGTGATTTGCGCCTATTTTCAGTGACCATATTCATACCTGGCAGTCTACCAGCTGGGCCTCCATGTCCATGGGCTCCTTGGAGGTGCTCAGTGCAATGTCCAGAGTGGCCTTCGTGTTCAGGAGCCAGTGATCCAGTTCATCAGCTTCACAGCAGTACCTCCTCAGGGCTTGTTCCTGTCTCTGTTCCTCTAGCTGATCATTTAACTTCTCCTAGTGAAAATGAAAATGTAACAGGTCACTTGAAGGTAAAATTATTAGGCATTGGGCCCTCCCTGGTGGTGCAATGGGTTAAAGCACAGCACTGAGAAGCTAAAGCCGCTTCCGCATGAGTTCGATCCCCGCCTGCCCTGGAGGTGACCCACATGGCGCAGCAGACCTCTCCTGATCCACCTAGCTCCCCTCAGCAGTGTACTTCGTCGATCTGCCTGTTCTGCTCCCCGCTCTGTCTCTGGTGAAGCCTCTCGCCACCCCTACACCTCTAGCCTGTACCCCAGTTCTGTATGCAAAAATAAATAAATCTTTAAAAAAAATTATTAGGTGTCAACTGAAAGCACAATGGTTCTCACTACTGGCTGCACATTAGAATCAACTGTGAAACTTAAGATAATGCCTATGCTTAGACCACACTCCAGAGCAGCAAACTAGAATTCCTGGGGGTGCTTGTCAAGATCAGTGTTTTGAAAAGCTTATGTACTGAGTGGAGTACGTGTTCTCAAATAATATACCCACATGGTTAGGCAGGCAATGAGAATGATACAACTGAGGAAGAATCAGAACAAAATGATGGCATAACGCCATTAGTATATGGCAATAGATTCTGGACCTTAATGTCGAGGAAACTATAGGAAGTGGTGAGGACTGTGGCAAACTTAAAACATAGTTTGCAAAATATGGGCCATCCATGGGCCTCTGCGGGAAAAGCTGGTGTATTGCTGTTAGTGTCTTGAGTCTAGCCAATAATTGCTTTTTTGGTTATAATTACTGTTTCCAGTTACGTCAAATAATTCATATTTAAAAAAAAAAATACAGGCCAATAAGTTCATTTCGAAACTCCACAAGGTCTCCTTAGGGTGACTGGGGATAAGAGTAATGAATTAAAAAAATAAATTCTTCTGATATTCCAAATACCTAATCTTAAAAATTACTTTGTGAATAACTGATTAGAACTGCTTTATTTTAAAATTAGATTTGTATTGTTTTAAAAGAGATTATCAAACAGAACTGGTTTTAAATTGATCAAAACTATTGAGTATTTTGACTATATGAGCTAATTTTATAACAGCTAAAACTTTGAAAGCCAACAGACCCCCAACAATAGGCCCCTGGTTCATTAAATTATGTAATAATCAGCAGCTAAGTAAAACAAAATAGTATTAAGCTCATATAATAAGAATATACTGACAAGTGATTATCTGCCAGAGAAGATTCTAGACTCTGGAAATATATGGAGACAGCGACAGCAACCATGCCCTGCCTCAGCAAATTCTAGCAGCCACGACATGCATGTCACACGAGTTTAGGGCCCAGAATTATAATAGAACAAAGGAAAAGGAAGGAAACTTAACACATGTTAGTGTGAGCAAAATTATTTCTATATTAGATAATATTAACATTCTCTAACAGCAGAACCGGAACTGCCAGCGTATTTTCGTGAATGAAGCCGCTGACATTAGCTAGCCACCACGAAGAACTCTTTCTTCCTCGTATTAGTAATTAGCAATACTCTTCGTAAGTCGCCCTTCTTCAAGCAGAACAACAGCCGCCTGCACGGCTGTGGTTCCCAAGGCTCACGCCTCCCAAGTATGAGCTTTCTGCATTCTCAACTCTTCATGCCTCACGAGAGGCCGAACAGAGAGAAAGGCCACATTCATGGCCATGCGCTGACTCAGCGATGTGTCTGCGGTCTCCTGCGGTCACGAGTGGGAACAACGACCACGCCCTCACGTCTCACCCTGATCAGCCCAACGGGTAGAGCCAGGGGCACTGGGGGGCGCCCCGGAGCGCTCGTTACCTCCAGCAGCTGTCTTTTCCCCGACGCTTTCATCTTGATGGTGGACATGCGCTCCGCCAGGACGGTGAGCGTGGACTGCAGGGCCAGCTGCTGGGCGGGGTCAGCCTCTGGACACTCGGATACCAGCTCCTCCGCTAGGGACGACTGCAGCTCACTGATCTCATCTTGCAGCATGAGAATCTCGTCCATGAGCGCCTGGAGGAAAGACTGTGCAATCACACGCGTGTATTTCTCCGGCTGAGTTTTCCACCGATGGAGGTGAGCTGGAGATACCTCACCTGGAAGTGACTGTCCTTGCAAAGGGGGGGGGGGGAATGCTTAATTTAGGTTCCCGAGGGAAAGCAGCCATGGAATATCACAAAATGCCGGATTTTAATACTCTGTGTGTCTCTAATGTAAGTGACTTTGAATACATGAATTAATCTTTCTGCTTCTCACCGGACCCATCTGTCATCAGAAGGGGGATTAGTGCTATGTGGAAGGGAAAAGGCATCCATTTCTTCCCTGATGAGATGTTTCCCACTCCAAATATCCCAACTTTGAAATTATTTCCCAAGTTGGAAACAGCAAGCACTAGGCTTTCATCCAAAACTCAAATTACATAAGCTGGGAGAAATCAGTCATCTGTTTCTGTCTTGTCACTTCTCATTTCTCTCCTTCTTTGCTCAATGCTGGAATTTGCAGAGCTTCTTGAAGCTACTTTCCAGGCCCTCTCTTCTCTCTTCCCAGGCTCCCCCAGGGCTTAAAGGCTTTTAGACACTTCTGAAGGTCTACCTCAAACTCAGGTATCTGTCCTAAATTCCAGTTTGTCTGTTTAACGTCAGGGGCTCCCTCTCGTGCACCGTGTGTAAAGCCAGCTCCCGCCCCCATCTTCCCCACCTCAACAAAGGAACGCACTCTCCTCCTCGCTGGGGCTCTCTTCCCAGGAGTAATTCACACCTCTCTGCACCGGCCTTGTCCAACTCAACAGCAAATCAACCTCATTAACCTCCAAAATATATCTTCAGACTCCTTTGCCATACCCCACACCAGGGTCCGCTCCCCTGGCCTGTGACAGGGCCTGTGTGTTTCCTTCTCGTCTCTACAGTCCATCTTCATTAAGTAGTTAATGCTCCTCTCTCACTTCTTTAAAGTACTCCCTTGCCCAATGACTACACTATAAGATGCCAAGCCCTGGTTTGGAAGGAATAGGTACCTGGGTGGTCCCAGCCCTGCTTACCTCAGCACCACCCTCGCCTCACCCACTACATTCCTGACTCCTTCGGTTACTACAACATGGCCAGCTCTTCCTGACCTCAGGGCCTCTGCACACCCTGTGCCCCCGTGCCGAGTACTCTGCTCACCACGCTGTGTGGTGGTTCTCTCTATCCTTCAAGTCTCCGGTGAATCGTCACATCTTCAGAGAGTTTCTTCTTGAGCACCCAAACTAAAAAACTATTATTTTCCTTCAGCCGTGTTCAGTTTCCCTGCTTAAAGTTGATCACAACTCTACGTGGCTTTTATATCTTATTTTTCGTACTTTTATGACCTGCGTTTTAGCTGGAATCTGGACAGAAAAAAAACCTTATTTATGGTTTGAGTGCTGAGTTACCCAAGGGGTAACAGCTGAGTAAAGAAAGACTGGAGTCCTCCTCACTAGCATGTCACAGCTCTCAAGCTGCCCCTGTATAGCGCTGCCCCTTCCATGGGGCTGAAGGCTGTGAGCACCGGGTGGGTCTCCTCAGGGTGGGTCTCAATAAGTAAACAAAATTTCTCTTTCCTTCATATCAACTGTCAGGTCCAGTGGATTTTTAGAAATAAATTATTAGGTCCTCCCTGGTGGAGCAACAGGTTAGGATGCAGCACTGCAAGCTGGCTGCAGCCGCTTCAGTGCGAGTTCGATCCCCACCCAGGAGCTGACCCACATGGTGTGGCAGACCTCTCCTGACCGGCCCGCTGCTCCCCTCAGCAGTGTACTTTGTAGATCTGCCTGTTCTGCTCCCCACTCTGTCTCTGCTGGATTCTCTCACCACCCCCGCACCTTTGGCCTGGACCCCAGTTCTGTATGCATAAATAAATAAATCTTTAAAAAAATTATTTTGAAATTATTTTATATATATATATATATATATATATATATATATATATATATATATATATACTTTACCATACAGCTCTGTGAATTTTCACACATTATATCTACACATTCACCCTGTTATCACCCAGATCAAAACAAAGCACTCTAAGGACTCTACCAGCTCCTTAGGTCCCTGCTCTGTTACTCGCTCCCCTCTTCCTAAAGATCACCATGGTATTCACTATAAACATCACTTTTCCCCATTTTAATTTATCTGGAGAAGGAATTTGGCAGATGTCCTGTTTTTAGCCTGGATTCTTACTCTGGTATGATTTGAGACTTTTTTGTTGCACATAGAAACAATGGTTCATTTTCATTGCTGTATCGAATTCCACTGCCAACCTGGTCTGAGGAACTTTTCAATTTCAGTCTTCCCAGGGGGTTCACAGTGACATCTCACTGCTGACTTACTTTCTTAATTTTCATTTCCCTGAAGTCAAGTCACATGGAGCCCTTTTTCCTCCTCTTGTTGTCTTGTTGGGTATCTTCTGTGACTCCTAAAAATCATGTGCCATTTTCTACTGGAGTCTATTATTACTGACATGTGTAGTTGTTTATGGGTTCTAGAAAGGAGTGTCTGTGTTTCTTTTGGTCTCTGATTGCAAATATCTGTGTCTGCAAAGAGGACATGGCTGCCCATTAGTGGGAGGGGACTTTCTTTTTTTTTTTTTTTTAAAGATTTATTTATTTGTGCATACAGAACTGGGGTACAGGCCAGAGATGCGGAGGGTGAGAGGGTTCACCAGAGACAGAGTGGGGTACAGAACAGGCAGATCAACGAAGTACATTGCTGAGGGGAGCAGCGGCGGGTCAGGAGAGGTCTGCCACGCCATGTGGTCACCTTCGGGGCAGGCGGGGATTGAACTCATGCGGAAGCGGCTTCAGATTCTCAGTGCTGTGCTTTAACCCGCTGCGCCACCAGGGAGGGCCGGGAGGGGACTTTCTTAATGATGTCTGTGAATTAACAGAAGCTCTTGACTTTATTAATCTAATGTATCCATGTTTTCCTTCACTGGAAAAGGTAGGGATTTTGGTGTCCTGTTTAAGAAGACACCGAGCCCATGAATATATTCTCACATGTTATCTTCTAGGAAAAATGTGGCCCATGAAATGTGTCAGTTCCGCAAAATGTTTGTCACCAATTCATGATGAGATAAAGATATTGCAAGTATGTATCAAGAAATTTATCACAACTTGACATTCACATGCTCTTCAGCAGTGTTTTATTTCATTTTACTAAAATTTTCACCTATGGTGGGTCACAAATATGTTTTAATGTTTGTTAACTATAGATTATAGTACTTTAAAAAAATTAATCTTTGTACTTAGATTTATAATCTACTAAATTTAATTTTTGCATCAAGAATAGAAAGGGCTCAATTTTTTTTTAATATGGCATCACTTACTGAAAAGATGACTTTACTGTATATCTGTTTTGTCTAATCCACTGTTATGAAATGAGGAGGCTTCATTTTCTTGCCATTCATTGAATGTGTGTGTGTGTGTGTTTTACATATAAAAGGGCATCTTTATTTAGGGGAAGAAGAAAAAAAGGAAAAAGGAGATCCTGCATAGACATAGGTGGGCAGTCTCAGGACATGATCTAATGCAGAATAATTTTTCACATCAGCTAAGTATCTATAAAGATTTTAGTGAGCTTCTGGAGACCAGTTCTGACTGACTGTTGCATGTAGATGTCTGTGACAGTAATACACAATAATTCCCAGAGCTTTATAATTCATAATGAGCCTTCAACCTGGCTCATTTTTTCAGACTTGCCTTGATTATTCCTAACTCTCATTTTATATATACACACACATATATATATATAAGAATACATATATATATATATATATATATATATATATTCATATGTTTGCAGTACATTTTAGAATTACCTTACCAAGCTCCACCAAAGAACTTGTTCAGATTTTTTAATGGGATTTTTTTTTAAAGATTTATTTACTTATGCATATAGACCTGGGGTACAGGCCAGAGGTGCAGTGGCAGTGAGAGGCTTCACCAGAGATAGAGTGGGGAGCAAAAGAGGCAGATGGTCAAAATACACACTGAGGGGAGCAGCGGGCGGGTCAGGAGAGGTCTGCTGTGCCATGTGGTCACCTCCGGGCGGGGATTGAACTCATGCGCAAGTGGCTTCAGCTTCTCCATGCCGTGCTTTTAACTGCTGCGCCACCAGGGAGGGCCCTTTTAATGGGATTTTAATGAATCCACCAACACTCTTTTGTTTCTTATATATTCAAAATGCTTTTGGTTCAGTAAATCATTTTCCATAAGCTTTATCATCATCTTTTGGTATCTGACTTCCAGAAGTACAACATCCACACTATTTGGTGCTCTCTAAAGGTTTCTCATCATTGAACTGACCTCATTGTGCCTTTTCTTTTCTTTTTTTGGGCAGTGTCCTCTGTGCAAACAAAAAAAGCCCCCTCGCTCCTCCACACTGCCATCATCCCACCCTACCCCACCCCACACCCCCTTCCTTTCCTCTCACTTTGCCTTAGCACCTCCCACCCACTCCTGCTGTCATCCCCCTTTCCCTCTGTGTCACCAAAGACCTGAGGAGAACTTGCTTTTATCTGCTCCCTCCACTCTAGCCCACAATCCCATTGCGGCTGTCTTGTACTTCTGATAACTCACTGCACCCCTCCATCAGGCTTCTGCAGCCTATAATGAAAATGTGGATTTCAGTAGTGTACACAGCAATTCGTCAACACAGCTAGCTGAGTTCTTTGTAATTCACAGTACATAAAACAGGTGTCTGAGTCAGGAACAAGCAGGAAAAGAGCCTCTATATTAAGTCTCAGTGGACCGGACTAAACAGGTATACAGTGAAGTCACCTGCTTTCATTTCAGACTCACGTGTTCTAAAGCAGATCTCTCCATATTCTATAAATACAGTTAGGAATTCTAGAATTGCTGGTTTTCGGCCTCTTTGTCAAGAAGCTTCAGTTTATTCCTCAGGGGGAGATTAGAGGTTTTTTTTTTTTGTTTTTTTTTTTTTTCATAGAAGAACTGGGGTATAGACCAGACACCTGAGATGTGGAGGGTGAGAAGATTCACCAGAGACAGTGTGGAGTAGAACAGGTGAATTCACTGCTGAGGGGAGCAGCAGGTGAGACAGGAGAGGTCTCCCACACCATGTGGGTCAGCTCCCTGGCTGGGTATCGAACACTGAGACTTAGCCCCTAGGCCACCAGGGAGGCCAAGGATGGATATTTTTGGAAGGTCGCTATCGTTTTTAACTCCAACAGCCTGTGGTTATGCTAGCGGGGGTGGGGTTGTCTTTCAGGTTGACAAAAATTATTAGAACTCAAAGAGGCAGCAGTGGGAAGTCGTTGGCAAATCCTGTCACTGAATTGTTTACTTTAAAATAGCTAAGTTTATACCATGTCAACTTCATCACAGTGTAAAAAACAAGAAGATGCAGAAGCTTAACATATTCTCACCATTCAAGTCATCTCCACCACTGTTAGCTGCTTCCCCAAAATACCTCACTCACAACCAGAGAAATAAAGTACATGTCTCGGGTTCCTGAGTTGCATTTATCAGGAGACTGTATGTGATGCTTACATGGTGGACAGACTCCCTTGTCTAAACTGACTCATTCCGGAAAGAACATGGAGCTCATGTCTGGGCCAATAATGGATGAAGCGTGAATTTTATTGTGACCGTCAGACATCAGCATAGTTTGTTTTATACTTCTAGTTGTATATATTAAAAAAACAAAAACAGGGCCGTCCGGAGTGGCGCAATGGGTTAGGGCGCAGCACTGTAAGCTGGCCGTAGCTGCTTCAATGCAAGTTTGATCCCGGGCCCTGGAGCTGACCCACATGGTGCAGCAGACGTCTCCTGTCTCACCCGCTGCTCCCCTCAGCAGTGTACTTCATCAATCTGCCTGTTCTGCTCCCCATTTTGTTTCTGGTGAATCCTCTCACTGCCCCTGCACTTCTGGCCTGTACCCCAGTTCTGTATGAGTAAATAAATAAATCTTTAAAAAACAAACAAACAAACAAAACAAAACAAAACAAAAACAGAAGAACCTCAGAGCATTGCCTAGCCCACACCACCAAGCCTAGTGAGACAGAGAGATCACTTGTCCCCAAAGCTATAGCTGCTGTTGAAAACAAAGCCCCTGTCATAGAGGACATAACACTCACAGCCACAGCCACAGGTCAGTCCTGGCTTAAAACTCCATTTAGGGACCCCCACCCCCACCCCCCGCACACACACATGCCGGTAGTACAAAAGGTTAAAGTGCAGCACTATGAAACTATCCACAGCCACTGTAGCACAAGTTTGATCCCCGGCCCTGGAGGTGACTCACATGGCTGGCAGACCTCTCCTGACCCGCCCGCTGCTCCCCTCAGTAGTGTACTTCATCAGTCGACCTATTCTGCTCCCCACTCTGTCTCTGGGGAATCCGCTCACTGCCCCTGCACCTCCACTGATACCCATATTCTGTATGCATAAGAAAATAAATCTTTAAAAAAAACTCCATTTAGAGAGGACAGTAGGAGATACACACACGCACACAAAAAAACACACTCAAATTCAGTAGTTTTAAATAAGTGTTTAGAAGGAAAATGAAGGAATTAGCTCAGATATTTAAAGAAAAAATACTTCCAGAGGATCTCGGGCAAGAAATAATGAAGTATTTCTGTTCAATTTTAGGAAACACCAAAGCATAGTGGACCTTCTCAGACATACAGTTGGAGTTTAGAAACAGTAATTCTCCAGCAGTGCTTACAATTGTTTAAGGATCAATCCAGAAGCTTAGGACTAACTTAGACATTGTTATACCCCCGGCTTTCCATGCAGGCAGCTCTGTCCCAGAACTTGTAGAACTTAAGTAGACAGCAAAGGCTAATAAAAGTAGGTCAGATGGAAACTGTTAGAATAGTGATATGAGCAATTACGTATTATTGTTGCTTGCTTTCCCTCTCATGAGCATTAGTATATAATTGTTAAGTTCAAATGATGGGCAGTCGTTGATTTAGCTATATCTCCTCACTGCCAAAATTGTTCGCATTTTCACTGCCAACTTATTAGGGGACAAAAAGTCATGTGACTGGTTTTAATGACAAAAAAAGCACAGGTGTATTTTTAGTATGTACTGCTTAGCATTAACAAGCAATTTTTAGTTTTCTCCATTAAAAATCTTGAACAAAATATTGACTTTATTCTACATTCTGTTAATGTGTGAATTCATAGTAATAAATGGGATAGTGGTGATGACTGGGAGCTAACTGGGACATTTACTTAGGAACTCTGGAATGTCAGGGAAAACCACCAGCATCCGCTTACGCCATTCCTATTGATAAATTCTGTGGAACCCAGAGAAGGGTCAACTTGGGAGCTGTGGCCAGCTGGGACAAAGAGTAACATCTTAGTCTCGGCGTCATTATCTCAAGCTCCTTTTCAGTGTTTAAAGGCAACTGTAAGCAAAGGAAGGGAAGTTGTCCTGGCTCCAGATAAAGTGAATACAGGTGCAGTGGTTAGTAAGGTAGACAGAGCCCCAGGGACTCCTTGCTGGTGGCAAAGACAACCCACTCACGTCACAATGAGGCGGTACTGACAATGAGGAAACCGAAGCAGCGACCAAAGGGGACCATGGGCCGTGAAGGAAAACAAGTCACCTGGGTCCTTGACTGTCCTCGTTAATTTGTCTAGGTAAACAAAGATTAATTTTCAGGGCCCTCCCTGGTGGCGCAGCGGGTTAAAGCATAGCACTGAGAAGCTAAAGCCACTTCCGCGTGAGTTCGATTCCCGCCTGCCCCGGAGGTGACCACATGGCGCGGCAGACCTCTCCTGACCCGCCCGCTGCTCCTCTCAGCAGTGTACTTTATCGATCTGCCTGTTCTGCTCCCCGCTCTGTCTCTGGTGAAGCCTCTCACCACCCCTGCATCTCTGGCCTGTACCCCAGTTCTGTATGTATAAATAAAATTAATCTTTTAAAAAAAAAAGATTTATTTATTTTCATTTCAAACTTTTTTTTCTAAGATTTATTTACTTGTGGGGCACAGACCAGAGGTGCAGGGGCAGTGAGAGGATCCACCAGTGACAGAGTGGGGAGCAGAACAGACAGATTGATGAAGTACACTGCTGAGGGGAGCAGCGGAGAGACAGGCGAGGTCTGCCGCGCCATGTGGGTCACCCCCGGCAGTGCTATGTCCTAACCCGTTGTGCCACCAAGGAGGACCCTAATTTCAAATTTTTATAGCACCTTCCCCAAACTAGTTATGAGTGGTTTAGAGATAGCAGAAAGATCTAGAGATGCTATGTCTTACCAAAACAAAACCCAAAAATGGATGCTATGTATTTAGATCTCTTTTTTAAGAAGCGACAAGAACTTGAAAAACTATAACCACTCTCGCTCAGTGTGCAATCTCTAGAGGGAGTGATCTCATTTTTATTTTGTATTGAAATGCTGTCTCATGTAAAATAATGCATTTTTTCTTAGATGACATATGAGCAATGTATTCTAAGGATATCCTAGATTCCATAAATATAAAGCTGTAGAGGAACAAAAACGTATGGGATTGCATTCCTACAGCTGAGAAACTTCCAAGAACTTGACAGATAGTGTTAAGAAGTAGAGCTGACTCCAACTGGACTCCTTTATGCCAGGCCCCCAAGGGGACTTAATCCTAATACCACCACGGTTCCAACCTCTCCCAGGAGTGTAGGCCCACACGAGTCAACCAGGAATTTCCAAATCAGCACCATGGAGGTATTCTGCATGGTGACACCTCACACTACCTGCTCCTGAGGGAAGATGATTTCACAGGATATAAAATTACTTTTGCTAAAAATCTTATATCACCCTCTTTCTTGTCTATACAAACCTTGTTTTCTATAACTGCTAGAAGAGTCTATATGAGCTACTGCCTGATTGGTGAGTCCTTCATGAAGTCAATTACATCGCTACATGTGTGAATTTTGCTTTTAAACAGCACACATAAATCACATAATGCTTTTATAACTCTTCATTTGTGTCTAAAGAAATCCCATTATTTTATGGGATTGTATCATGCTCCTGGATTCCGGTGAAGGAAGGTAACATTTTTCCATGTCACAAGCACTTTGTCTCAGTAACTGTAGACAAAGTTCTAGCTGCATTCATAGCACACTCAAAATACTGCCAAAGCATTAAGCAGATATCTTAATCTGTGTAATGTCTCAGCATACATTTTAAATCAATGCCTTATTTAACCCTCTTTCTGAATCAGGTTAATGTAAAACATTTTCTCCTGTAAAGCTAAACTTTATCCACCTTAGAACTTTAAAAAAAAAAAAAAAAGTGATCCATGCCAGAAACAATCACCAGATTATAACTTTGAATCCCTTATTCTTCAACTTCAATCCTTTGCCCACTGAAATCTGAGACTTGTTTTCTTAAGTGACACTGGACAGGTGCTGGGCTTAAAACAGCAATAACCAAAGAAGGTAGATTTAGGGTCCATTTCATTCTTACAATAATGGCTCACCAGAAAATAAAAATAATCTGGCAACTATAATATACTTTTCTGTGTCAGGAAAAAAAAGTAAATAAGAAAGCCACGTTCTTTAATTAGATTCAGTTTCTGTAAAGCTGTCTTTCTCTCTCAGATACCTCCATGAACCAATGGCAGGAACAACCCTCATTTGGAACCTGTTTACTCTGTAGGAACCAATGCAATAAAAAAAAAAAAAAAAAAGCCGATATTCAACCCCAACACATGCTTGGCAGGCCAACCCGGCACCAGACTGACCCAATTTAATCATGCAGGAAACAGGAGTCCTTGCTATTTTTACCTGGTGTTCAGCCATCTGGCTCTCAGGACTCCTGCCTTGCTCCATTCCCTCACTGAGCTTCATCTCGATGGCTTCCATCTTGGTAGAGATGGACTGGAGGGAGTTCTGGTACTTCTGCTGGCGTTCCAGAGCTTCATAGAGTGTGCGTTGCTTTTCACTGATCTAAAGGAGGAAAGAATATTGCCAAATGCTTTCTGGCCCCTTATCTGCTCATTACGACACGTCTTTCCTCACTGCTTGCCTTCAGTGGCCCAACAGAAGGCATGCAACTGTGCACCAATGTGAAAACTCTATGCGCAGATTGCAAAAGACAGTCGCTCAGGTAATCTGTGAGTGGTGGGCTTCAAGGAGTCGATATTTAAAGGCTTACCACATTCTTTAAGGTTTCCCAAGAGCGCTGCAAATCATCCAGCTTAGCGGTGGCTGATGGTTCCAGGCCTGGTTCGTAAAGCGCCTGGGATGGTGACAGGCTGGGGTGAAGCCTGGCGGCCTCGGTCTGCAAACTCTCAGCAGACAAGGCCTGGTAATACGCAATGTCCTGTGGGCACAAAGCACAGCACAGAGTCAGGAGGAAAACGCTTAGGTTGATACTGCGGGCACGATTTGTGATGTGGAGGGCGGGTTTGGGGATGGCCCCTTTCCGGGGGACTCTACACCGGTGAGGCTAGTTTTTTTGTAATAAGAATTGAGAGGTATTAACACCAATTATAACTGCTATAGAATTTTAATTTATATTTTTAAAATGAAGACATATACTAACATTTCAAGTTGCCAAAACCGACTCTTATATTTGGGGGAAAAAAAGAAAAATACCAAGGACATAAGCAGTTGACTTATTTAACCAGCAAAATAAAAGAGACTGTAAATGAACTATTTCCTAAATTAATGTTTTATATGCTAATTAAACTATAAAAAGAGCTGACTTTTTAGAATGAAATTAAGTGTAGAAAGCAATTTATCAGATAGAGCCCAAACGTCAATGTTGGCAAGTTCATTTTTCACAGAAATTAATTTAAATATTTATTTTAAAACAAGGGAAAATGTAGTGGAGGTGTTAAAACTAGTCTAGAAAACAAAACAAAAATATGGTTTCTTTCAGTTCCTGAAAGTATACAAGCAATTACGTATAGGATGAAAAGCCAGGCTTTGAATAATTTTTTCATTCACTGGGTCAACATTGCACATTTTATTAGTTTTGATGATGGAATTTACTAGACCAAGGCCTATATATAACTCGTGATGTCAATAGTTTTTATGATTGTTTATCTTTATATTCATATAAATTGAGTCAGGGAACTATATTTATATTCTGGGCATTGCCATTATAAAATTAGCTACTTTTGAAGTGTCATTGAAGATAATTATGTTAATTTAAAATACCTGGGTCTCCTGATAACTAATGTCTTGGTAAAATGTATCATAGACCCCAGTGTCCATGGAAGAAGGGCGGGTGTCTGGAGACCCACAGGAAGGCAGAAGCCGGACTGCACAGCAGGACGTGTTCAGGCAGAAGCTCACCCTAAGGTTCCGGGGAAGTCTCTCAGCCTCTAGACAGCTGTGTTCGCTCATTTGCAAATCACCAGGTGATTCTGAGGTTCAAATGAGCCATGCATGAGGCCATGAACGCCCCCCGCTTTTTGTTGCTGAGTCTTCCTGACAAGTTTCTAACATGGCTGATGGAATTCCTTCTAACCTCGTTACCACCTTGAGCAGATGACCTTGGTATTCTCAAGTCCTTGTGAGGCTCTTGTAGGGTAAATGGAGTTGGTCAGGCTTTTCCACACTGGCCTCTATGGCCATCACCTATGGCCTTGATCTTGCTAATGTAGAGGGCGTGTGTGTGGGTGTTGGGCACACGTGCCTGGCTATGGACACCTGAGCATGGGTGTGTGGATGTGTGCAAGTGTGCACACCTCAGCCTAGAAGTTGGAGACTTCAGGGCGGCGTCACTCAGAGACGAGAGTGAGATGGGAGAGGACAAGTGACTATAGAAGAGGTGAGACAGTACCAGAGGGAGCCCAGAAAAAGTAGAAAGATTCCCTGGAGTGGGGACTAGGCCTCCAGGCCCCCAGCCAACTGCCCACCCTGCACCTACCTGCCCCCTACAGCTCATCTCCATTCATGCCCACTCACTCCCACCCCACTCCAGTTCTCCAAACCCTTCCACACCACGGCCTGTCACCACTATCATTCGTTCAGCTCGCAGTGTACTTTGGACTACTTCTAAAGCTACTTAAATGCTCTTGTCTACATCTTGATCTCCTTTGCAACTTTAAGCTCTGTTTCACCCCTCTGGAAAACCCCAATCATGACTCAATCCAACTTTTCTGCCCAGGGTGTACGTGTACACACACACTTGAAGGCATCAAAGGGATACTCCTGCAATTTCTCAAATTTCTAAAAACCTGCCCAAATTTCACTCTCCTTGTTTTATGAACCTGCCAGCTTTCTTCTTAGGAATGGCCCTCCCCACCTATTCCCGGGATCCCATCCTCCTTTGCTTTTTCAAATTCAATACACCACAATATTCTATCACCCCTTCTCTCTCCCTTTCTTCTGACTTTTCATCAGCATGAAGAGTCAAATCTCTATCTGAAAATACCTACACGCACTTTCTTTTGTCATCTTTTTCTTGCTAGAAAACGTATCAGGAAGGTCCAAAACCACCTCGTAATGATCATCACCAGTGAATATAGTTGCACACACGGTTGTGAACATCTCCCCTTTCACTTCCTAGTCCAACTTCTAGAAGTGGTCGCTGGCACTTATAGGCTCGCTTGCTCACCCCCAAACATCCAGCTCCAAATTCCCAAATGGCCCTTGGTCTGATGCCTCCACTGACACTGTTCCTGCAACATCACTGGCCTAGGGTGTACATGCACACACACTTGAAGGCGATATTCCTGCAACTTCTCAAATTTCTAAAAATCTGCCCAAATGCAGACTCTCCTTGTCTATTTTATTTCCATGAAATAAAATGATTTTTTCCAGCCCTTGTCTTGCTTGGCCTGTCAAGCATGCCCTACCACTGTCTATCCCTAATAGAAACACTTTCACCTTTCTCTTTTCCTTAGTAGTTTGGTTTCTGCCCCAGGCATTCTTAAATTGGACTTGTAGACTCAGACTCAGAGATCCAGGGGTCTGTGTATGTCCCCAGGCTCTTCAAACACAAAATTTCAAAAAACAATACAAAACAAAATCCATGATGAGAAAAGAATTTCAGAAAAAACTAGAAAATGGTATCCATCTTTCAATAAGGGGAACTTGTTCTCACCTAAGCTATAAACATGGGGTTTATTTTCTATGTCCCTGCCCCCTCACCACCTACTTACGTAAGGATGAAGTTCGGTTGGTGCACACCCTTGCCAAAGTGTGGGTGCAAGTTCCATTACAACAAGGACTTCCTGATGCCAGGCTGTCAGCGGGCAGTTTGCAGGCTGCATCTGACTGGCATGTGTTCCCTGGGCTTATCCAGGGCTTTCAGATGTTCACATTTTTCTTTATGGAGACAGACTGATTTTATCAGAATCCAGGTTCATGGATTCTTTTATAAACCAGAGATATGGGAGCGTGACCTGCCCACGGGGTTCCAGTGATCCCAAAAGAGAGGCTGCTTCCTTCACATGGGGAGGCGCTGCCCTGGTCTCGACATCCCTCGGCTGCTTCTCTCAATGAACGAAATCGCCAGTGTGGATCAGGCATCAGATTGAAAAACTTAAGTCCCTAACTAGCAAGCCTGGCTCTGAATTAGTCCATCTCCATCCTCCTATCCACACACTGACCCAGAATGATCTGTTCTAAAACTTGATTGTTTATACAGATGCCAGTGCAATTCCTTCAATGGTTAACTACTAGCTTTTGGATCAAGTGCAAGCTTTTTTGTCCTTCCTGGTCACTTCTGTATCCCTCCCAGCTTCCTTTCTCCCCCTCCTCCCTCAAATCCACATTTTTCTATTCTACTGAGATTGTGCGACTGCCTTGATAGATTGTTTTCCTCCCTACCTGTGCCTGAAAAACCTCACTACACCGTAGTGCATACCAACTGCCTTACTTGCACACATTCTCAAAAGCAGGAGATGATGCTTGATCCCTTCTGGACCTAAGCTGGTTTAGGGGCTTCCTCTGTGTTCCGCCCCCCCCCCCGCCCCATAAATGCCCCAAGCTCTCTGCATTCACAGTACTTGCCACACCCAACTGAGTGGCATGCTTGCTCTCACACAGACCACAAGCACCTTGTGACCCTGAGCAAGTCTGGAGTGTTGGCAAGTAACAAGCAGGCAGGTTATTCCTGGAGAACTGTTCACACAAAAACTTTTGTGAACTCTGTTCTCTTAAACAGTCATGCGTAGCTTTGCTGCAGGGATGCTGGAGAAATGCACCACCAGCTGAGTTTATCATTACAGAACCTAGTCAGCACCTCCTGGGACACACGTGGGCTGAAGACTGTCACCCGTTGGGGCCACCGATAGAGATGGGGTCTGGAAGTGACTGCATAACTGTGCATGGGAGATTGTGACCCTTGAACAAAGCGGTGGGGGTATGGGGGTCTCCACCCCAGTAGTCAAGATCCATGTCTAATTTATAGCTGGTCTCCCCATATACCCGTTCTGCAGAATCAACCAACCAATGAACATGAGGAGTTGAATCTATGAACTTGGAACCCACAGATGGAAAAAACCCCAGTGTAAGCGGAGCTAAGCAGCTCAAGTGTCATCATGGTGACCTTGTGACTGTCCACGGAGAAAAGCAAGATGATGCTTTCAATGTAAAACCTGTAAATCAAATATCCTTAACTTTTTTTTAAAGGAACCCAAAAAGATAGAATAAAATATATGTTTCCAAAAAAGTCCTTTTTTTCCCCCCGGGGGCATGACTGTGTCTGCACAGCTGCTAGTCTTGGGGCTACTGGGAAGAACAACTGAAAATCAACACTCTGGATCATTTGTGGGTTACACAGCTTCAAAATATTTAATGATCAGTCCTACAAGTACTAAACAAAAAGCGGAATATCTGGGGTAGTAAGGAAACACCTTAGCAAAATGTCTCTTTTTGCTCACGTGCTTAAGATATTAGGAATTATTATCTAGTAGATTCCTAAGGAAACAATTTTGGACAACCAGAGCTATGATTTGAGTAGCATTTTTCAGTTCAAAAAGTATTCTCACACTTGATTTTCACAATCTTGTGACTGAAAGTTTTGTTCCTATAGCAAGTGAGAGAATTGGAGGACTTTTCTGGGACTGTCAGCTGAGTAGAAGAAAAACTGCACCGCCTCTGAGCCCTGGCCTGGGTGTCCTCTCCCACCTGCACTTTTTTTGAACCTCTACTTCTCTTAGCACTTCTCAGGAGCCGAAGTCTGACTTGTTTGGAAAAGGGTCTGCAAACCTGCAGCGTCCTTTGGGGCTGCCCGGGCGTTTCTAGCCTTGAGTGAGCTCAGTTATTATCACATTTCAGTTAATAGCTACTGTCAGACATGGAACCCGCTGACTGTGGCAGATCAGCTAGTTATATAACGGGGAGCTACTTACAGAGGCACGAAACCCTTTTTTTAACAGCTGTGATTTTATAAAGCAGTTATATTTGGCTGCTCGTTGAAACAGCTGTGCACATTTTGTACAGTGTGTTGAGTCTGAAAACTGGAACTTATAGAGATGCTCGGTGTCTCCTCAGTTCCAGAACAGAAATCAGAGGCCTCACTGCCCTTGCTGTCGTTTTTTCACTCTCCTTTGACTTACCTTACTATTAACTAAGAATAAAAAGCAACCAAAACAATGGATTGATTTGTTTGGGTCACACCAATGCTTCCTTTTCAACAGCTTCCTGTGAATACTACTGTCTGACATAAGCTAAAAAAGGTATGATTTTTTTTTTCAAAATTGGCAACATCACACTCAAGTGTGTTAGGTCAACAATGTGATTTAATTGATGTTTTCCTGTGACTAGGGGAAGAATATCAAAATGGACTACAAGAAAGCCATAGGTCACTCAGGATTTTAGAAGTTTGATGGAGCTAAACAATTAAGTCATAATCATTAAAACAATTGCATGTTTTACACCTTTTAGAGTATTTAGAAGACACTCTACAAGAAATAAATAAAAAACAGAATTTTGAAAAGGGATATTCTTCATATAGTGTTTGTCTTCAGGCCACTGATTATTGTTCAAAATGAACATTTCAATAAAGTTTAGCATCTAAGTTAGGATGAAATGTTCTTCTACCATAAATGCCTGGTGACAGCCTAATTTTTCTGATCATAATCATCTGTGGTGTGACCATGGGGATGAGCATACTGGAAAAGAATGGGTAATAAGTCTTTTAAAATCAGGATTAGGACACATTCTAAAATCACCCAGAGCTGCTTTTTTGTTTTAAATTCTTCTCTTCTGGTTTGTTATTTGTGCAGGCTACCTCTGTCACTAGATTGAAAGGTTTTGGCAGTCAAAGGCCATCACACCCTCACTCTTTGCTGCTTCTCTGGATTCCTGCACAAGATTTCACACCAAGCACCAGGGCAAAAGGTATCTGGTAATCAAATGATTGAATTGAAACTCCTTAGATCTATATAGAGTTTTCCCAAGAGAATCATTTTATCTAAAATATTTTCTCAATCTTATTCTCATCTTTCCTCGGGGGAAGATTTGCTTATTACAGAAATCCCATTTTGAATGTTTTTACTTTAAAATAAAAAAAATGTGATTAAATTACAATATAGCTAATTGAACATTTGTCCTATCCAGTCTTTCCCTTGATAATAAATCTCATCTTGGTTGAACACTTACAAAATGCAATTGAACATAATTTAATTTTTAAAGCAGTTTTGGTTAAAAGAAAAAAAAGCATTACTTAACCATCACTAAAATTGTTTGGTTATAGTCATAACCAAACACTATTATTCATGAAAATATTTTCATGGATTTAATGAGGGTGTATACTTAGTGTGAGGTATGCCGAGGAACTCATAGCAACAAGGGAACATTCCTACTTTACAGGAAAGAAGAAAACTTAAATCGACTTAGGCATTCCGATATTTAGACTGGCAGACAGCTCTGCACTTGACTGACAATTAGAAAACAAAGAAAAAGTATGATACGGTGAGCAGAAGTTATCCATCTTCCAAATCTGAGCCGCTAAGTGTCAAAACCACACTCAGTGCATGTTAAAATAGTAAACGATCATGTTATTTTACAACCGTGACACAAACATTTCATTCTCTGCCAGGGTGCAGTACTCCATTGCGGACGGCAACAAGTTAAACCACTCGCTTTTGAACAGGACCTTCTCCAGCTAAAAACCCCGGGCCTTAATCTCTTTGTCTCTCGGGGCAGGAGCCCGTTCACGGAGCCCCCGGGGGCCCTCCAGGACTCACGTCCACACGCGGTCTAGACAGTCCAGAGAGTGGAGTACTGCAGCCACCAGAGACCTCAGCAGAGGAAAGGCAGTGGGCGTACCTGGTTAACAGAAGCATCTGGATTAGCCACAGGTGATGGGGAGCGACAGGCAGGTGGAGAGGAAATCTCACTGTTGGTTCCCTCCTCCCCAGACTCCTCAGTGACAGGTGACAGCAAAGTGTGACAGCGACCTGCAGTCATCTGTCACATAAAATGTAGCCCAAAGGGACATGAAAAGGCATTAACTTTGTCAACAAGACTTGGTGAGGCACAGGTCAAAACAGAAATTACCTAACACAGGTTAGAACTATTGACCCCCCCCCAATTCACACACAAATTCTGTGTTAGTATTTAAAGTGTTGGTTCTCAGGTAAATACCCCGCCAGGGCTCACTGACAAAACAGATAGGACGAGGCAGTCTAAACCACATTCAAGTTTTGCTTTTGATCAAATACATATTTCATTTTCTTGATGGTCTTCAAAAATAACTAGAAAAATTAAGAATCCTGCATGAGCGACAGCTCAGAGATAAAAGCTTAGTCTTTCCTAGACATCCCTTTCCTGTTTGACGGTCCCGAACATGCAACTAAATACGGACTCCCCAAAGCGTTCAGGTGTGTTTATGTACCCCCCAGGCAAGCAAACATGAGTGGAAAACATACAGCACTGGAAGACTTAGTTACCAAGTAATTAATGCATTGGAGGTGCAAAGTGATAGGAAATAATGCCGCAGGTTAGAAATCACTGGAACTTCTTTTAATCCAAAGTTAAACTTTTGAATTTTTTTGTTGTTTTCCACTCAGCTTTTTTTCTTGTATAGTTTCTTAAACATTTAAACAACAGGATGGACATCTAGCCAGCCCACGTTTTATCTTGGAAAACACACACAAATATGGGTAGCAAGGTGCTCCCTTCCCCCAGAAAACCAGAAAACTGCAAAGAACTGGTTTGGAAGCTCCCCTGGCTGTTGTCACTAAACTAAAAACACATGCGACCTTTGACTCTCGGTAAAGCTTCTCATGCAAACAGCTCCCTGTCAACTGTCATTGTTTACAGTGCCCGGGGCTGGCCTTGGCCCAAGGGAGTCAGAGTCAGGGAGAGTGACTGGCTTCCAATCTGCAAGGCTAGGGCTGAACCCGAGTTGCCCCGCGGAGAGGGCGCCTGCAGAGGCGAGCTGGGCACAGCCTCAGGGCGGGCGCGAGGCGCTGCAACCTCGGCCTGGACCCACTCACCATGACCACAGAGGGCTGGGCCGAGGACGCGGGGAGGAGCTCGCGGTCCAGGTCCTCGGTTCCTTCCGCCAGCCCCTCCACCTCGGTCACCGTCAGCAGCATGGTGGCGTGCTTGGCCTTCATCGTCAGCATCTTGCACTTGGAATTCAAAGAGGCGATCTGCTCCTGGTAGCCCTTGATTTTCTGGGCCAGCTCCTGGGGAAACATTGCCCACCCCCGCCCGGGTGTCAGAACAGCATCAAAAGGAAACAGAACTAGTGGCGTTCATCTTCCTCCCGGGCTGGCCAATGAAATCTCAGGGCTGTGCCAGACGGCGGCGGCGGCGGGAGGCAGGATGTGGACTGTGCAAAAGCCCGAACCGCCTCCGAGCCGCCCGCA